CCCTAACCCAGCCAGCCTTCTGCCATAGGTCTGTTTTGGTGTGGAAGACAGAGGTTTGGAGCTCAGTGCAGATTCTTAGCCCTTCTATACTCATATTTGATGAGCAGTACTGGATTTAGTGCCTTTTTCCGCGGCACGTCGGTCAACCGAGCCCGTTTGGGTGGCGGCGGCTCGCACGGGACACCTGCCAAGGCGGAGGAAAAGTTTGCGGGGGGGCGGTGCGCGTGGGGCCCAGCCAGCTGCCAGCCCGGGGCCAACGTGCCCTCGGCATGGCGGCGGGGCCAAGGCGGTGGTTCTTCTCCGCGCCCTTCGACCTACGCCACTCGCTCCTTTGCCACCATCCCTCCCCCCCCTTCTCGCCCTCTCGCCACCCCTTTTGGCTCCTCCCTTCTAGAGCACAGCGGATCACGAGCTCCTGACGACACGGCATCCGAAGGCTCCGTTACGACATCCCCCTTTTCGTGAAGAGGCCGGCCCTCTTCATCTTCCCTCCCACCCCTTCCTGGCCCTGCTCGACCCGTCATCTCGCCGCCTGGTGCCGATACCTTCCTTGACGCCTTGTTCGTCCTCGCCGAATAACACCCCAGTCCCCTCATCGCTCCACACTTGTCAGCTCGAGCGCTTCGCCGCCATGCTTGGCTTCACCGACAAGCTCAACCCGTCCGTCAGCGTCGACTGGTCGCTCTACGGCGGCGCCGAGCAGACCTCGCCCGCTGCCGGCCGAGCTCCGGGTCCCCGCCACTCGACGGCCGCCGCTTCCTCCTCGTCTGCCGCGGGATCTTCGGCGTCCTCTCGCTCCGGCTCACCATCGCTTGTGTCCAACGCGGCCGCATCCTCTTCGTCCGCCACATCGGTTCACAGCGACGACACGCCGGAGGGCGATGGCGACGAAGATGAGTGGGACGACAAGGAGGGCGCGCAGGTGGCGGAGTTGCTGGGCGGCACGCTCAAGCAGCGCAAGCCGGTTCCCGCGGCGACAGTGACGCCGGCCGAGCAGGCCAAGCAGTGGCTTCCGCCCATCCTGCCCTCGGCCCAGGACCCGTCCGACTTCCTCTGGATGCACACCGAGGAGCCGCACCGGTCCCGGCGGATGGCCATCCTGCGCGCGCACCCCGAGGTGCGCAACCTGATGGGCCACGAGCCGCTGACCAAGTACGTCTCGTTTGGCGTGCTGGCGCTCCAGGTCGGGCTGGCCGTCATGGTGTCGCAGCTCGGGTGGCACCCGCTGAGCCTCAAGTTCCTCGCGCTCGCCTACGTCGTCGGCGGCACGGCCAACCAGAACACGTTCCTCGCTATCCATGAAATCACCCACAACCTCGCTTTCAAGGGCATCCGCACCAATCGCGCCTGGGCCATCCTCGTCAACTGGGCCATTGGCATCCCCTACGCCATGGCCTTCAAACCCTACCACCTCGAGCACCACAAGTACCTCGGCGAGGACGGCGTCGATACCGACCTGCCCACCAAGCTCGAGCTGCTCTGCCTCAACAACGTCTTTGGCAAGGCCTTCTTTGCGTGAGTGCCGCCGAGGCGCCGGCAGCGACAGAACGGGTAGAGAGACGACGCCGCCGGTGACTAACCTGTCTCTTCCGACGTCCGTCTGTTCTTTGAACCCCCGCCGCGCAGCACGTTCCAGATCCTCTTCTACGCGCTGCGGCCGGGCTTTGTGCGAGCGCAGCGCCCGACGTTCTGGCACTTTGCCAACCTCGTCTCGCAGCTCGCCTTTGACGTCGTGCTGGTGCGGCTGTGTGGCTGGCCGGCGCTCGTCTACCTGATCGAGAGCAGCTTCTTTGCCGGCAGCCTGCACCCGTGCGCCGCCCACTTTATCGCCGAGCACTACATGTTTGGCGGCATCGCCCAGGAGACGTGGAGCTACTACGGCCCGCTCAACGTGCTGGCCTACAATGTGAGTGCGGCGCGGTATCCGCGGGCGGCGCGCGGAGGGAGTGCGAGGCCATTATACGGCCTGCCCATTGCCGATGGTCGACACACTGGTCGACGCACTGATCAAACGGTCGACCGTTCATTCGCTCCTGGAGCTGACCGCTTTCGTCCCTCCTCCTTTCCGCCTTCCCGCCCTTTGCCTGCTGCGTCGACGCTCGCCCCATGCCTTGTGCCGCTCCCTCTGTCGCACAGGTCGGGTACCACAACGAGCACCACGACTTCCCCTCGGTGCCGTGGACGCGCCTGCCCGCGCTGCGCAAGCTGGCGCCCGAGTTCTACGACATCCTGCCGCACCACACGTCGTGGCCCATGGTGACGCTCCAGTTTATCCTCGGAGCCGATTCGGGCCTGTTTGCCAGGATCAAGCGCGCCAACCGCGACGACGAGCGGCGGCAACGCCAGCAGCGGCAGCAGCGGGGACACGACGGCGCCGTCAAGGCGCAGTAGCGGCATTGCGCCGTCGCTGCAGTCAAGTGGTCGCGGCGGTCGTCTGATTTTGCTTTGCTCTATTTCGTTCCGCCTCGTTGTCGAGGGAGGCGGGTGCAGGCCTGCTGCCCACGACGTGAGCTTCTCTTTTCGCACTACCGCTCACCTCGGAAGTATTGGTATCGTTCACCTCTGTCATCCGCCCTGCTGTTGTGCAAAACCTCGACGCCACGTGACGGGCCAGGGATGGGCAGGTCGCCCTAAGCGCTTGGATCGGTCGGCGGGTGCTGGGATTGCAACGACGATCCTAGGCACAGAGCATGGGCAGTGGGGGGCATGGGTATAGAGCCGGATATCTCCTGGAGGGGACAGATGGGGTCCGGGACGAGCCGGGGCGGTGCGGTGGGCAGAGAGAGGCAGTCTACGCATAGGGCCAGGTGAGGACGACGGCGGAGGGGAAGAAAGGCTAGGGCCAGGTCCTGCTCGATTTGGATGGACCGTGAGCCAAGGGGGGATGGACAGGCCGAGAAAGGCTGACGGATCCGTTCTGAGTCGATCAGAGGAGCGGATGGCGGGAGGGGAGGAGAGGAAGAGGACGAGCGCCGCCCTGCCCCCAAAGGAGGCCCTCGCGAGGCTGGCTCAGAAGAGGATGGCGCCGCCGCCGAGGCCTGCGGCAACGACGAGCAGGCCGGAAAGGACCCACGCGGCGCCAAAGAGCGGGACGGCCGTGGCTCCGGCGGCTGCGTTGTTGGCGGCTGCGCCCGAAGCCGAGGAGCTCGGGCGCGGGCCGGTGTAGGTGGTGGCGGCGTTGTCGATGGTCGTGACGCGGCCGTCGAGGACGCTCGAAGTGGCGGTGCCCGTGAAGCCGCCCTCGAGGCCCGTCGAGATGCCGGTGGGTGGGCCAGTGGTGGGCGTGGGAGCCGTCATGCCCTGCGAGTAATGGGTGAGGATCGAGGCGAGGCTGGCCGATCCGGCCGCATCGGTCGGGGCGATAAAGGGGACGGGAGGGGCGGGCGACGAGGCGCCGGGCGTGAACTGGACCGAGGTGCCCGTCGAGAGGCCGCCGAGGCCGTCTGGGATCGTGGCGACGGGGGCGCCCGTGCCGACTGGCGCGAGGGGCGGCGAGAGAGGGGGGAAGGGGCGGAAAGATGGAGGTGCGACCAAGACGAGGGACGAAGACCAGGCAAGGTTGCGACCGAGCAAAGGACGGACATGCGAGGTGCGACGCGGCGAAAGAAGGGACAAGGACCGAGAAGAAAGTCAGGCGATGCGCCTCGTCGATGTCGCATCCGGGTACTGGGCCCCGAGTGCGCGGAGTGCAGTGAGGGTCCAAGAACCGGGGGGAAAGGAGACGAGACGTACCGTTGGGAGTGGCGGGGATGCCGGCGGTGGAAGTGAGGCTCTGGCGTCGCTGCAGACGGTCTGGCGATGCATCGACGGCGGTGGCTGCGGCGGCAAGTGCGACGAGGAGGAGGACGAGTGCGAGCCGGAGCGGGGACGAGGGCGAGCGGGTCGTCATTGTGGGCGTTTAGTGCGGTGGGTGGGTATCAAGGTGGGTGTGCCGAGGCTGGAGGAGGGAGGAGGGGAGGTTGAGGCGCGAGAAGACGGTAGGGCAGGCGATGGACGGGCGGAGGTATGATGGACCTGCCTGTCTGCCGGGGATGTGCGGTGCTGCGCAGCGGGTGTGGTATGGCGATGTGACCCCTAGGTATTCTGCCGTCCTCTCAGTTGCGGCGGCGGTGGTGGTGGCCCTGGTCGTCGAGGTGTCAGTGTAGGAGGCAGGATGTAGAGATGATGCGCGGAAGAGGCACAGAAGGAACGAGGCGAGCGCCAAAGATGATGGTGGTGGTGGTGGTGGTAGTGGCGACGACGACGACGACGGCGACGACGAGTGGTCGTAGCAGCGACTATGGATGGAACGATGGTGGGCAGGGCCTCTGCCATGGGCGGAGAGCGAGGCCAGGGCGGCTCTGCGTCCGCATCGAGGACCAACTCCGCTCGTTCGGCCCTGGTCGTGGTCCTGGCCCAGCCTCGATGGATGGCGGGCTTGACTGACTAGGCTCGCGGCGCGCGAATGACGGCGAGGCAAGGCGAGGCGAGGCGAGGCGAGGCGAGGCGAGGCTGCATCTCGGCTGGAATTGCGGGGGATCGACCGTCGTGCCTCTTGGTCCTGGCCTCTTCTTGGGGCGCCTGCTTGAACCTGGCCTGGCCTTTGCTTGCCTCGCCTGCGCCTGCGCCTGCGCCTGCGCCAGGCCATGCACGCATGCATGCCTGCAGCCTCAACCTCCGCCCCGCCCCTGCCTGCCTGCCTGGGGCACCGAGCCCAAAAGACGGCTGCAGATCCAAAGAAGAAGCAAGACAAAGAAGAGAGCGGCGCGCAATGGCTGGGCGCGTGAAATCGTCCTGGCCTGGCCTAGCCTGGCCTGGCCTAAACGCTCGCTCGCTCGCTCGCTCGCGCCCCTCTTTGGCCCTCTCTCGTCGACGCTGGGGACCGCCATCCATGCTCTATTCTAGTCGGTCGTATGAGCCTAGCCTCCTCCTGCATCCAAACAAAGATCGCAGACATGGTTCAATGAGACGATCCGTCTAAACTCGCGGTGGAAGCGAGGGGCGAGGAGCGACCACGACGACGACGGCGTCAGTCTACAAAAATGGCGCCTAGGCCCTGGATGCGCACCTCTTCCGCCTCGGCGTGCCCAGCGCTGTACACCTGCACAACCAGGTCCGGCAGCACCACGTAGCCGCTCGACAGGCAGACGAGCTTCATCGTCGTCCCGTTGGTCGAGCCCGCCTGCCCCGATAGGCTGGTGGCGACGGCGACGGCGACGGCGTGGCATGGTCAAAACACGAGGGCGGAGCGGGGGCAGCGTATCAGCAATCGACGTCACCCTTCGCGCCGTGGGTGGTCAGCAGGGCCCGCACCGCACTCACGGAAGCGCAACGTGGTTCTCGACGGGCACCACCGACGCGTACGACGGCTGCGCCCACAGGTAGCGCTGCTTGATCCCTGCGCCGCGGGGCGTGGCAGATGGTGACATGCCGAAAAAAGGTCGACGAGCCAAGAGACAATAAGAATCAGCGACCCGCTCGACTTGCCCTGGCTAGAGTCGACGACGCATCGCAGCCGACACGATTCGACTTACCTTCAGAGTCGAGCAGCTTGCCGCCTAGTCGAGCGGCGCCCGTGTCCACCGACGCCACAGACGCATCGTCCCAGCTCACCACCACGCTCCAGTCCCCGCCATCATGCTCGCCGCCCGCGTACCCGTACCCATCCGCCCCGCCCAACGCCGACGACCCGCCGCGATGCCGGTTGACCAGCGCAACCTCAATCTCGACCACCCCGCCGCGCTCGTGCTTCCACCGCCCGCCCTCGGCCGCCGCCGCCGCATTGGCCACGTCGTCCTGCGCCACCGAAGCCACTGCCCCCACGGCATCTCCGGGTACATCCCCGGGCAGGTCCGACGACACCAGCTTCTCGCCCGTGCTGATCGCCGCCGCTTCCTGCCCGTTGGCCGTGATCGAAGACGTAAACGTCAGATCCTCGGCTACAGACTGGCGCCGATGCGGCTCAGCCTCGCCTACGCCATCGAGCTGACCCGCTGCCGAGTCCGGCGATTTGGTCGACGACGACCCCGACAACGACGGCAGAGACGACGGCGACGACAACGATGGCGGCCGTGGCGGGAGGATCGTCGTCGTGACGAGGATGCCATCGTGCTGCCCGGCCCCAACGACGTTCGGATCGGCGTGAGCGTTGGCATGCGACCACGGCCGTATCGTCCGCAGGCTTGCCGCCGTCGCCGTCGATGGATCGGCAGCCGCACCGGCGTAGCCGTGCACCGCCGCCGCCGAAGGGCGGCGTTCCAGCATCGAGTCGAGCTCCTGCTGCTGACCCCACTCTTGGCCGATCGACATGACCGTCCTGCTCCGGCCCTGACCCGCCGAGTCCTCGGGCATTCCTGCCCCTGCCGCAGCGGTCGTGGCGGCGCTGATGGCACGCTGCCTGGCCTTGTACAGCAAGCCACCTCCTCCACCAGATATACCGCCGGCCGATCCGAGCCGGAAGCTCGCCGACCGTGGCGTACCGGGGTAGCCGGGCGTCATCTCACCCGCCGCAAAACCAGAGGGCTGCCGCGACATGCCTCCGGCCACGCCCGCCGTCGAGAGCGAGAGCGGAGGAGGATGGCCGCGTCCGATCTGCTGTCGCTGCTGCTGCTGCTGCTGTTGGCGCTGCGGTATCGTTCCCGATGATCCGGATCGAGCCATGACCGGGTCGTTGGGGCCTCGTTGGCCTGCGCCAGCCGCGACGCTCGGCCCAAACGAAAGCGATCGGCCCATGGCATTGCCCATGGCCGCGAGGCGCGGATTTGTCGCTGCAGCGCCGCGCGCGCCGCCGACGCCCACGTTCGAGGCAGCGACGCTGCCCGACGCCGCAAGTTTGTCGAGGTTCCGCGATCGGTCGACCTGATATGCCTCTTCGAGGGCAAGCGCCGAGTGACGCACGCTGCCCGCCGTAGGCGGGTACACCTGCTGCGACGCAGGTCGGCTGGCGTTGCCGCCTTTCGTCGATGGCGCAGGCGTCGCGGCGTAGCGAGGCGCTGCCAGCGACAGTTCCGAAAAGGGCCGGCTGACATTGGCGCGTCGTCGTGCGCAGTTGAAGAGCGGTGAAAGGTCGAGAACACAGTTCCACTTGGAGTCAAACGGCTCCATCTCTGACGTGGTTGGCGAGGCACTTGGGCCGAGCATGATGGGCCTGCCCTTGACGATGATGGCGACGTTGCGCTTGCCCGAGCCGGGCAGGCTGCTCATCCGGCCCGGGTTGCCGCCACCAAGCTGGATAGCAGGGCGCTGATACGTCGGGTCGCCGTCTTCGACGCTGAGGTAGTAGAGCAGGTTCCGCTGCTGCCCTTGCTCTAGCCGCACCGGGAACGACCCGCTCGACCCGGTCCTGCCAGCCGCAGACGTCGGTCCCGGCGTAACTGGCGCTCCTTCGAGCAGCCGCACGACGGCCCTGGCCTCGCCGCTGACCTGCTCGACGCGCACCTCGATGTCCTGGACGTCGAATTCCAGGCCGGACTGGGACGGGTTCTCAAGCTCGACACAGAGCACCAGCGAGGCCTCGTCCAGCCCTTCGCCCGAGACCTCGTCCAGGTCGCTGCCGGCGTCGACGCGCTGCGAAAAGGGCGAAAAGGGCGTGAAGAGCGTGCGCATCCTCACGCCGAGACCGCTCTTGACGTCGAGCACCGTCCGCGCGCTGCGCTTGAGCACCTGCAGGCCAGCTGTATCGCTGTGAGTCGGGGCCGTTGTCAGCGACGATGACGAGTCGCGACCGTCGCCATCCGAGTCGTCGTCGACGATGTCACCGCCACCGGGGCCACCTCTGTGGCTGGAGCCACCGCCGAGATCACCGTCGCCGTCGTCCGACCTGAGGTTGCCGCTGGCGCCGGCCGAGGCGCCGTTCGGGTCGGGACCGGCCGCCGCTAGGGCAGCCTCGAGCATCCGCTTCCTCCTGCGCTCGACCTCCTTGAGCCCCTCGAGGCCGCTCCGGGGCGTGACGAGGGTATGGCTGCCGCCCAGCACCTCTTTTCCGAGCTGCGTAAGGTGGCTGCCGAGACCTCGCGGGCCATCGAGACCGAGGGCCGACGAGTTGCGCATGCGGATCAGCCTCTCGCTGGTCGACTCGTCCGGATAGACGGGTCCCTGATGGAGGGGGGAGAGGAGCGAGTGGGAAAAGGCGTGGGCGGACAGGTTGGCCAGCTCGAGCGGGTCGGAGAGGAGGTTGTCGAGCAGCGGAGGCGAGAGGCGCAGGGTGAGGGCGGCTGTGAGGGACAGGACGGGCACGAAGGGGGTCGAGGCAAACGTGACGGGCACGTCGCAGAGCCATCGGACAGTCCAGTGTTCGCCATCGAAGGCGATGTAGCCCCGAGAGCGCCGGAGATGGGCACCAAGGTGCGATGCCCGGCGGTCCACCTTGTCTGACTCTACCTTGGGCGCGTCGAAGCCCTTGTTACCGGCACATGCGGCCGCAAAGAAGCCGACGGGGTGCGACTGGCCTGAGTGCTGCTGCAGCTGCTGGTGTTGCGGGTGACGCGGGTCGGCAGGATGCTGGAGCTGGTAGGGTGCGTGTGCTCGATGCACGGTGGGCAGCGGGTCGAATGGACTGTGCTGAGAGGGCTGAGATGCGGCATGGATCTGTGCGAGGGGGACGTACTCTGCCCTCAGGGCGACGTGGAGGCAGAAGAGGAGGGTGGAGAGGATGCGGGGCACGGCGGCGGCGTCGTCGTGCTCCGCGCTGCCAGCAGCGGACCCATGATGGACGTGAGGCGGAGCAAGGGGCAGAGGCAGCCCCGAGGTGCGTAACCGGGAATCGAGCGGGGTCGATGGCGGCGGTGGTGGCAGGGCAGCCGAGGTTGGGATGCGAAGCGCGACGATGGCGCCGAGGTTCTCGTCGTAGTAGGCCGTCTCCCTGATGGTGGTGATCGAAGTGGCGGTGGTATCTTGACTGCTCCTCAGCAGCTCTACTTGATTGGACAGGTCGACGCTTGCATGGCTGCGGGATGCCGAGGGGACGTGAACCGAGAGGGCGGAAGTGGAGAAGAGGTGGGAGAGGAGGGCGCAGTGGGCCGAGGCGGCAGTGGGGGATGCGGTCGGGGCGGCGACCATGATTGGCCCGCCGCCGAGGGAATGTGAGACGGTGGTGTGAGGGGATGCAGCGCGAGCGGTGTCAACGCGATGGCAGAGATGGCGGTGGTGATGAGAAGGAGGAGGAGGAGGAGGAGGAGGTGGAGGAGGAGGAGGAGGAGGAGGAGGATGAGGAGGAGGCGAAGAAGCCAACCAGAGGCCGGCAGCGTGTCGCGCACAGACCCGCCTGCCAGAGGCCGGGCGGGGGTGATTTGGCGCTGGCCCGTGAGCCGGAGCGGGTCCGAAGGATGGGTGTGGCCGAGGCCCAGGCTGGCAGAGAGGCCGAGGCCAAGCCAGGTTGGTAGGGCAGCTGGCTTGGTCTCGGGTGTCGGCCGACGAGAAGCGGTGCCCGCTCGGTCCCCCCACCTTGGTGACTCGGACCGGGCAGGCCAAGCCGGAGAGGCAGCCAAAGGACCGCCTCGAGGGGCACTCCACCTCACTCCTCCGACCCAGCCTCGATCCTCATCCTCGGACCTCTCCCGACAGCTCGACTGTCTGACTGCTTGCCGTCACTTCCTTTGCCGCCTGCTATCTCGACCCACCTTTGCTGCTTGCCGCCTCATCTGCCAGCACACCGCCATCCGACCGGCTTTCCTGCCTGCCTGCCTGCCACCCTGCCTGCCCCCATCGGCCCCTTCCCGAACTGCCTATAAAACGCCGCTCTTTGGCCTGCCAGCCTCGGATTCAGCTCCTCCCCAGTCCTCCCCCTCATTCTGCAAGTCACCCCGGCATCACTGCACTTTCCTGAACCGCCCTCTCGCCCGCCCGCCCGCCCGCCATGTCTGTCAACGCATCCGCCCGCCAGGCCACGCCGCCGTCGTCGAGCGTCGACTGGGACAAGCTCGGCTTCACTGAGCGCGAGGTCAACGCCCACGTTCGCGTCACCTACAAGGACGGCCAGTGGGGCAAGCCCGCCCTGCACACGGGCACCGACCTCAACGTCCACTACGCCGCACCCTGCCTCAACTACGGCCAGCAGGCCTTTGAGGGCATCAAGGCCTTCCGCACAAAGGCCGGCTCCGTCCACATCTTCCGCCCGCAGGAAAACTTCAAGCGCATCAACCTCAGCGCCAGCGTCGCATCCATGCCCGCCCTCACCGAGGCCGTCTTCTTTGACTCGCTCAAGGCCGTCGTCGCGGCCAACCTCGAGTACGTCCCGCCCTACCAGCCAAACGCCTCGGGCGGCGCGCTCTACATCCGCCCGCTTCTCCTCGCCACCGGGCCCCGCCTCCTCCTCGACAGCCCCGACGAGTTCACCTTTGTCATCTGGTGAGTCCCAGCCGGTCTTGTCCGCTGACCGGGGGTGTCCGACTCATTCGCTTGCTTGCTTGCTTCTGCCCCTCTTGACGTCGTCCCCTCTCCATGCCCCCCACAGGGTCTCCCCCGTCGGCTCCCTCTATGGCTCGGCCAAGGCCATCCCCGCTGTCGACGGCTTTGTGCTCGACACCTTCGACCGCACCGCCCCCATGGGCACCGGCCACACCAAGCTCGGTGGCAACTACGCGCCCGTCTTCAAGCCCACCCGCGAGGCAAAGAAACGCGGCTTCCCTATCACGCTCCACCTCGACTCGGCCACCCGCACCTACATTGACGAGTTCTCGACCTCGAACGCCCTCGCCATCAAGAGGCACGGCGACGCCACCACCCTCGTCGTCCCCGAGAGCACCAGCATCCTCCGCTCCGTCACAAAGATCAGCGTCGTCGACATTGCCAAGAAGCTCCTCGGCTGGAACGTCGAGCTGCGGCCCGTCGCCTTCCAGGAGGTCAAGGACAAGCATTTTGATGAGTTCCTTGCCGCAGGCACCGCTGCCGTGAGTGTGCCGGTCGGCTTGGATGCCCGGCAGGCGGCTTGGTCTCGGTCCTCTCCGCTCTCGCCGGTGCTGACCCTCGACCTGCCTGTCTTCCTCTGCCTGTCTATGTGTCCCTGTCATTTCTCTCCCTCATCCCCTCTGGCCGCTCGCAGGGCGTCACGCCGGTGCGCTCCATGTCGTACAACACCAAGCAGCCGCGCCTCGTCTCGGGCGGCTCGACCGAAGAGCCGCACGGACCGCGCTTCGACTTCCCGCCGGACAACGTGGTGGAGCGCATCGACTTTGGCGACGGCAAGACGGCCGGCGAGGGCGCCAAGGTCCTCTTTGACCAGCGTGAGTGCCAGATGGTGGCCTACTGGCGACGGTTATGCCGCGTAAGAACCTTGGCTTTCCCGCTGACCTGGCAACCGGCCTTGTCCCTATCCTACTCTACCCGACCCCCCGCAGTGACGTCGTACCAGTGCGGAGACCAAGAGGACGTGTTTGGCTGGCTGTGGCCGGCCGAGGGCATCGTGGCCGAGGACGCCTCTGCCGCTTCGTCCTAGAGGACTGAAGAGATGCTCTTTTCCGACGGTCGGGGGCAGCATCAAGCGGGCGACGTGATGTGCCCCTAGACGTCGAGACTGCGACAGCGCATAGAGCCGGTCCGGCGATGTGACCGCCTGCCGGTCTCCTTAATCTATACAGCATCGCATCGCTAGACGGACGGACGGCGAGGGAGCGCGAGGGCCCGCTTACGGTCTCAACGTCGTCCGAGTCGCGCACGGCTGTGGCATTTCGCTCGCAGCCGCCGCAGACTGGCGTTGTCCCGGGTGATTGACGGCACGAGAGGGGCGGCGGGCCTGCACCGCCGAGCTGCGGTGCACGCGGTGCACTGTCGTGGCATGCCGTGGCGTCGCAGTGGGTGCTGGCTGTGTTGAGCGGCGGCGGTGAGTGGCGAAAAGGGGGAGGCCCAAAGCTGCGTCGACGTGGAAGCTCGAGAAGCGGGCCGTGCAGCCGGCCCGCCAGCCAGCTTCGGTATGCGGGGAAAAGGAAAATGGGAGCGGCGGCCAGTCAGCAGAAGCAAGCCAGCACGCAGCAGCGGCGTCTGCCACGTCGGCCAGCGAGGCAGGCAGGCAGGCAGGCAGGCGGGGTGCTTGCTTGGCCTGGCCTGCCTGCCACGGCGCAGAGGGAAATTCCAAGGCGAGGCGTGCATGGGGCGCCGCTGGCTGCTGCTTTCTGCTCGTTGCTCTTTGTGGCCACTTCGGACCCCCCCCACCTCTCGCTTCTCGCTCTTTGCTTCTCCTCACCACCCACCGCCACCGTTCGTCCCTTGTTTCGCCTCGGCGCCGCTCACAGCCACCTCCTTTGGCCGCTCCACGCTCCTTATAACCCGGACTCGGTCGCCGGAAGCAGCAACATTCCGGCCTGCACGCACCACGGACCCGACCTTTGAGCGCCGCTTCTGATCTAGCCTCGACTCCAGGCTCGCCCTACCGCTCCCGCCGCCACCCGCCATCGCCCGGAGCGATGCCTTCCAAAAAGGCCACGACAGCCGCTGCAGCTGCCGCCCCTGCCTCGGCCTCGGGCACGTCGGCGAATCAGCAGGAGGGGTCCCGCTACCACCTCCGTCAGCGATCCACCGCGCCCCGGGATTCCCAGATCGACTTTGACGACGACGACGACGAGGACAAGGCCGACACCGCCGAGACCGAGGCCATGCTGTCGTCGCGCGCGGGCAGGACGTCGCGCGCCACCAAGGCCGACGACGTCGCGGGCGGCGCAGAGCTGCTCGAGATGGGCAACGGCAAGGCCAAGGCGCCGCTCGACGCTGACGCCGATGCCGAAGCCAAGGAGGCCGGCGGCTTCATGGACCTCAACCCGGCCGACCGGCGCGCCATGATCCTGCTCGTCGTCCTCTACCTGCTGCAGGGCGTCCCCGTCGGCCTGGCGTTTGGCACGATGCCCTTCCTGCTCAAGTCGCGCCTCTCGTACTCGGACATCGGCTTCTTTATGCTGTGCACCTACCCCTACTCGCTCAAGCTCTTCTGGAGCCCGATTGTCGACTCGATGTACGTCTCGGAGCTGCGGCTGCCGCTGCTGGGCACCGTGTCGCTAGGGCGGCGCAAGAGCTGGATCGTGCCCATCCAGGCCGTCGTGGGCGTGATGTTCTGGTTCCTCGCCGACAACATCGAGCCGCTCATGGCCGCCGAGATCCCCAACGTGCGCCTCATCACGGCCATCTTTTTCGTCATGGTCCTCTTCGCCGCCACCCAAGACATCGCCGTCGACGGTTGGGCGCTGACGCTCCTGTCGCAGGAGAACCTGAGCTACGCCAGCACCGCCCAGACCGTCGGCCTCAACACGGGCTACTTTCTCAGCTTCACCGTCTTCCTGGCCTTCAACAGCGTCGAGTTTGGCAACAAGTACTTTCGCTCGGCGCCCCTCGACGTGCCCATGCTGACGCTCGCCGGCTACCTGCGCTTCTGGGCGTTTGGCTTCGTCGCCGTCACCCTGTGGCTGCTCCTCTTCAAGCGCGAGGACGACGAGGGCCACGGCGGCGACGGCGATGCCGCCGACGACGACAACCCCGAGATGGACGTGCGCAAGGTGTACTCGATCATGTACCGCATCGTGCGGCTGCGCCACGTGCAGCTCTTTATGGTCATCCACCTGGTGGCCAAGATTGGCTTCCAGGCCAACGAGGCCGTCACGGGCCTCAAGCTCGTCGAAAAGGGCTTTGGCAAGGAGGACCTGGCGCTGGCGGTGCTCATCGACTTTCCCTTCCAGCTCGTCTTTGGCTACCTGGCGGCGCGCTGGAGCAAGGGCGACAACGCGCTGCGCCCTTGGATCGTCGCCTTCTTTTTCCGCCTGGGCTTCGCCGTCGTCAGCATGGGCATCGTCTACGGCATGCCGGCGCCGCCCATCGGCCACGGCTACTTTTTCCTCGTCATCGCGTCGACGGTGCTGAGCAGCTTCTCGTCGACGGTCCAGTTTGTCGGCATCTCTGCGTTCCACACCCAGATTGCCGACCCGCTGATCGGGGGCACGTACATGACGCTGCTCAACACGGTGTCGAACCTGGGTGGGACGTGGCCGCGCTACTTTGTGCTCAAGGCCGTCGACCTCTTCACCGTGTCTTCGTGCTCGGCGCCGTCGTCGGTGTCGATGCTCAAGGAGCCGGCGCTGGCCGACATGTGGTCCGGCGGCGGGCGGGCCGTCGTGGGGCGCGAGTGCACCTCGGACCTGGGCAAGGCGGCGTGCTCGGCCGCCGGCGGGCTGTGCACCATCGAGCGCGACGGCTACTACTGGACCAGCACGCTGTGCGTCGTCGTGGGCACCGCCATCCTGGTGGCCTTTATCATGCCCGCCGCCAAGCGCCTCCAGAGCCTGCCGCCCTCGGCGTGGAGGGTCAACCTGCACGGCAGCGCAAAGGCGCACTGAGGGGGCGCGGGCGCGGGCGCGGGCTGCATCAGGTTGACGGTGACGCCGCTGCCCGCCGCTGCTGCTGCTGCGAGGGTGGAGCTTGACGCGGCCCTCCTGCCACGAGATATCTCCTGTATGTACATAGACGGGACGGTGTGCTTTCGACATGCATCGCCTACTCGCTCGCTCAGGCTAAAATAGAAGCAAGCAGAGCGCCGCCCGGGTGTGTATGGCGCCGTGCTGCCTTGCCTGGCCTGGCCCGGCCTGCCGTGGCGTGGAAAGACGAGCAGGGGCCAGGGAGTGGACCTCGTCGACTAGTCGATGCGCCGACCGAGGACGCTTCCTCTCCACTCGAGGCCGTCCTTGTGCTTTCCGGGGGCGACAAAGGCGTCGCCGATGGGGTGGAAGCCGTGTTGCTGGTAGAATCTGGGCGAGGCAAGAGGACAGCGGGCAGAGGCGATGTTGGTTGGTTGGTCGAAGTGGAAATGGGCAAGGGACCGTCGAGGGCGGGGATGTCTCGGGAGGGACGCGCATACCTTACGAGGCCGCCTGCGTTGCCGCACCAGCAGTCTACGAGGATCCAGGGTATGCGCCTGTGCCGTGCGAGGTCGAGGGCGTGGTGGATTAGTTGGGCGCCTGCGCCGCGCGAGGGACGGAATCGATGGGTGATGAGGTAGTTGAGGTAGAGGAACCGAGGCGCGGACCCGTCGTCGTCGTGCAGTCGCTGTCGGATCTGATCGACTAGAGAGGGGGGCAGGTAGTCGGGCAGCCATGTAGATAGCCCGCATGCCGCTACGCGTGTTTCTCCACGCAGAGCGAGGATCATACGACACCACCTCCCCCCTTCCTCGCCTTGCCCGTCGCCGTCGCCGTCGCCGTCGCGGGGGAGGAGCGAGAGGCGATACGAGGAGCGGATGAACTGCGCAAACTCGGTCCTCGTCTTGGGGCGAGAGGAAAAGGGGATGTCGCCCCACTGCTGCGCGGAACCGATCGAGGAGAGGTAGGGGAGCGCCGAGTCGAAGGCCGAGAGGATAAAGGCGAGGTCGGTCTCGGTCTCGGTCTCGGTCTCGGTCTCGGTGTCCGTGTCCGTGTGTGCCTGGTGGATGTCGTCGTCGTTGCCCGGTTTGGCTATTCTGAATGTGGTCCCGATCGTCGTCGTCGATTCCATCCTGCTTTAGCCCCGGCTTGATGGAGTGGCGATGGTGGTGGCGGTGCGAGAAGGATAGGGAGGCAGACGTGGACTCGACTGAGCCCCGCTTCGGAGGCGCCGAAGATGAGCGGGTGGCCCGTGCGTGTTGACCGCTGTTGAACTTTTTTTCTGCGGCGCCTCCACTTTGGAGGGCCGTCGCCGCCGCACCGCCGCACCGCCGGTTTACTCAGCGCAGCGGACAGAGAGACGCAGACAGAGAGCGAGCGAGCGAGCGAGGCAGACAAGCACGACGGAGGCCCTAGGCCCTTTTCCCTCTCGCCACCACCACCACCACCACCACCGTCGTCGCCGCGCTCACTTTTCTGCTTCTACACCCGTCGCAGTCTGCTTTCCATCGTCACTTCCTTCCCCCCTCTTTCGCTACCTCCTACAGGCTAGGCTGACCGAACCGCTCAAGAGTACACTGAAGGCGACGCACCGCTGCCACCACCCGCGTCGACTACGCATTGATCGGCTCGCCTGGCTCTCTTGGCCCACCCACCTCCGCCCCCCGCCGCCCAGCATGCTCTACCTCTCCCATGCCCACAAGGCCTCGGCCACGCTCCAGTCGCTCGTCCTGCCCGACTTTCTCCCCTCGGGCCCCTCGCTCGCCGTCGTACACCACTCGTCGATCGTCTTCCTCGCTCTGCCCCGCCAGGACAAACCGGCCCCGGCCCTAGCCCCAGCCCCAGCTGCAACCCAGCCGCTCCAACAGGTCGCATCCGTCGAACTCAACGCCCGTATCCTCGCAGTCAAGTCCATCGCAGCTCCTGCACCCGCGTCGTCGCCGTCAGGGACACAAACACAAGCACAGCCAGGGTCAGCGCCGCGGCCACGCGCTGCAAGCCGCCTCTTGGTCCTCACCGACCACCACAACCCGCGCTTTGTCGTCCTCGCACACTCCGCACGCCCCGACCTCGGCGACAATGCCATCCTCACAGAGTCCACCCTCGTCCTCGACGAACCGGCACGCCCGCCCGCAGAGCTCGGCCTCGACCTCCTCGTAGAGCCTGCCTCGCTCCACGCACCGGGCGCCAGGTTCGCCGCCACACACACCCACAGCGGCCTCCTCAGGATCCTCCCCATTGCAACGGGCGGCAGCGACAAAAAGACGAGCGCCAGGAGGAGATCCAGCGCGCTCCCCCTGCAGCACGGCATCGAAACCGACGCCGACACCGCCGCCGTCACCGCCATCGGCCCCGCCAACGACATCGGCAGGCCCGACACCGCCAGAGCGTTTGGCGTCCGCCTGCCCCACCCCACCCTCATCTCGTCGACCTTTTTGCACCCTCGCGCAGCCACCGACCCCGCCACCCTCGCCCTCCTCTCCCTCTCCAGCGTCCCCTCTCGCAACCCCGGCCTCGGTCAGCAGTGCCTCCCTGTCCTCTCGTTCCATGCCGTCGACCAGGGCTTGCAGGAGCTCAAGCCCCTCCCCTGGGGCCCGCCGAGGCGCGCCCCCTCTGCCATCGACCACAAGGCCGACGCACCTCCACGCCGCAGCAGCATGCCCGGCTCCTACGCCGCCGACGAAGAGGACGACGGCGACCCGGACTATGTCGAGGGCGCCGAGAGCAGCCGTCGCGCAGCCGCCGGGCGAGCAAAGAGCGCCAAGCGGCCCCAGCCAGAGAGCAAGGGTAAGGGCCGGGGCCCCTCGGCCATGGGAGCCCACCTCGACGCCGCCGCCTTACAGAAGCGCGAGGAGCAGTGGGCAAAGGACCCGCTCACCCGCGCCCACGTCCCGCTGCCCTACACCGACGCCCTGGGCGCCCACCTGATCCACGCGCTCCCCGCCTCGGCAGGAGGAGGCGTCATCGTGTTTAGCGAGACCAGCATCCTCGTCGTGCCTCCGCCGTCGTCTGGCTCGACGTCGGCCGACATCGATGCCCATGACGGCAGCGCAGCGGCCTCGGTCCAGGCTCCCTCCGACAGCGGATCGGCGGCGGGCAAGCGCCGAAAGGGCAGCAACGCCACCGAGAGCGCCCACAGCCGCAGGACCTCGGCCGCCGGCAGCACCGACGCACCGAGCAGCAGCGGCGGCGTGCCTGCTGCCACGCCCGACGCCCTTTCGACCAGCCCCACGGTGCCCAGCTCGCGCTCCAACGAAAACGGCAAGCGGCGCCGCTCGTCGGCCATGGCGCCCGCCTCGTCGCCTCCGACGTCGCCGACCGCCACGCGCTCCTCGGCCGGCCGCAAGTCGGTCCACCTGCTCCGCACCTCGCTCCCCTTTCCCGTCCAGGTCTCGGCTGCCACCACGGTCGTCGAGGCCGATGGCAGCAGCGTGGTCGTCGCCGACGACGGTGCGCCCGGATCTGCAGCCTACCTCCACGTGCTCTTCGCCTGCAGCTCCGGCAGCCTCAAGCTGCTCAAAATCAAGCTGGCAAAGGCAGCCTCGCAGGCCAGCGGCCAGTGGCGTCCTGTCGGCCTCTCGGTCCACCACCTCGGCAGCACCCCGCAGGCCACCGGACCCAACGCCCTGACGTACCTCGGCGAAGGCTTCGTCCACATCAGCAGCACCACCGGCGACGCCGTCCTCTACCGCATCGACCACGAGCCTTCCGAGGGCGCAGCCCCCTCTGCCAGACCTGGCCGGGCGGACGACGACGGCGGCGACGTCGAGATGATCACGCCGCCGACATCGCCAACACACGCCCGCTCCCGCATGCCGCCCCCGTCGATGACCCCGTCGTCGCTCTCGGATGCGGGCTCGCTGCCGTCGGCGGGTCGGCTGGTCGAGGTCCGCCGCTGGGACAACCTCGGCCCGATTGTCGACTTCACCGTCGACGACGGCTCGGGACAGGACCCCGCCGGCGCCAGCAGCGCCCAGGCGCGCATCATCACCTGCAGCGGGTCGGGCCCCACGAGCAGCCTCCGCGTGGTCAAGACGGGCGTCGCCATGGACGAGGTGGCCGAGCTCGACGGCCTTGCCGGCGCCTCGCGCGTCTGGACGCTCCACGCGGGCCGACGCGCTGCCAGGACGACGACGATGCTGGCCGTCGCCCACGCGGCCGGCGTCCGCTTCCTCGAGTTCCAGGCGGACGGCTCCACTGCCGACATCACCGCTGCCGTCATCGGCGCCAGTGGCGCGAGCACGACCTCGTCCTCCGTCTCCGACGTCCTGGCCATCTCGTCGCTGGATGCGCGCTCAGCTGCGGGGGACGCAGGCGACCAAGCCGCTGCGACGACTACTCGCTTCGTCGTCGTCGACCGGGCCGGCATCCGGCTGTACGCCCTGCAGAACGGCCAGGTCGCCAAGGTGAGCGAATGGCTACCGACTACCGACGGCTCCGCGACGGCGATCACCAACGCCGCGGTCAACGAGCAGGGTCAGGTGCTGGTGGGGCTCAAGGACCACAGCCTCGTCTACGTCGAGGCTGGCGGCGACGACCACGGCATCCGCGAGGTCAGCCGCACCGCGCTGCAGAACGAGGTGGCCTGCATGGACATCAGCCCGCTCCAGCCTTCGCGGCCGGCGGCCCATTGCGCCATCGCCATGTGGGGGTCGATGTCGGCGCAGATTCTGTCGCTGCCGGCGCTCAAGCCGGTCGGCCAGTCGGCGTTTGCGAGCGAGCGCCTGCCTTCGCTGCCCCGCTCCATCGTCATTCATCGCTTCGGCGACGTTGCAGAGGATACCCAGGGTACCCCCTCGTCCCCTGCCGGCCCGGCCTACCTCCTCATCGGCCTTGGCGACGGCACGCTCCTCACCTACCGCCTCGGCCTGCCGGACGCCGACAGCTACAGCGACACGGTCGGCGTCTACGACCAAAAGGCCGTCAGCCTCGGCACGCGCGCGCTGCGCCTCGACAAGGTCCAGACGTCCGAGGGCCTGCTGGCCGTCTCGGTAGCGGGCGAGCGGCCGACGATTGTGTTTGCCGACGCCAGGCGCTTCAGCTTCAGCGCGATCAAGTACCGGGCGGTGCGCTCCACCGCCACCCTCTACGGCGGCGCAGGCCAACCGGCGCTCGGCGCCTTTGCCGTGGCCGAGGGCGTCCGGGTCGCCACCGTGGGCGCGCTGCAGAAGCTCGACATCCGCACCGTTCCGCTCGGCTGCCACCAGCCGCTGGCCATCGCCCCGCACCCGGCCGCCAAGGCATTTGGTCTCGTCACGTGGACTTTCGTCCCTCAGGCCTCGGCGGCCGCTGCCGCCATCGGCAGCCAGGCGCGCGGCGCCGTGCGGCTGCTCGACCAGTCGGACCTGGCGACGCTCGACGAGGTGCAGCTCGAGGCGTTTGAGCGACCCAACTGCGTCGACGTCGTGGCGCTCAAGGGCCGGCGCACCTACCTCGTCGTCGGCACCGGCTACGTGAGGCCCGACGCCAGCGAGACGACCAAGGGCCGGCTGATCGGCTACGAGATCGTCGAGGGCGGCGGCAGCGGCAGCTCCCGCGAGCGCCCCACCAAGAGCCGCCGCGCGCTCAGGCTGGCGTTCGAGGAAGAGGTGGGCGGCAACGTGTACGCCGTCGTGGGCATCCAGGGCCGGATTGCCGCCGCCATCAACTCGCGCGTGGCCGTCTACGAGGCCAACGGCGCTGCGGCCGACCCCAGCGGCAAGGGCAAGGCCAGGAGCCAGGGCGGCGGCACCGGCGGCGGGCTCGACGCGCTGGTGCAGACGGGCGAGTGGGGCAGCGCGTTTGTGGCGTGCACGCTGTCGACGGCCGAGGACAATCGGCTGCTGGTGGGCGACGCGCTGCGGTCGATGAACATCCTCGAGGTCGACACGGAGCGCGGCACCGTGTCCGAGGTGGCGCGCGACTGCGACCCGTTCTGGACGACGGCGACCGAGGTCGTCGACCGCGCCAGCCAGACGTTTATCGGCGCCGACGTCGGCTTCAACCTGTACACGACGCAGCGCGTGCAGCTGGGCGACGACGAGCGGCGGCGGATCAAGAAGAAGCGCGACGCCGAGCTCGAGAGCGGCCAGCGCAACAAGTCGCGCTGGAACGAGCGCAGCCTCGCCGACGGCTTTGCCCACGTCATGCAGCGTCAGGCCGCCTGGCACTACGGCGACATGATCAACCGATTCCGAAAGGGTGGGTTGGCGTCGACCGGACGGGCGGGAGGCCGAGCGTAGGACGAGACCGCGAGCGAGCGAGCGAGCGAGAGACGGGCTGCCGTGCTGACCTCGATAACCCCCTTCCTTGATCCCCTCTTCCCTTCTTCCATCTGCCTGCCCCCGCCCCGGACAGGCGCGCTGACGTCGCCGTCGGGCAACACGGCGTCGATTGTCACGCCGCGCCTCGTGTTTGCGACGGCGGCGGGCGCGATTGGCGTCATCTCGCAGCTCGACGAGCACGTCGGACCGGTGCTGAGCCAGCTGGAGCGCAACATTATCAGCGTCGTCGAGGCCTCGCCGTCGTTTTCGCCCGCCGCCAGCGGCGGTGTTGCAGCATCGTCGGCCCGCCACCTGGGCATCGTCGGTTCGATCCCTTTCAGCGAGTACCGCACGCTGCGGACCGACCACCGCGTCCAGCCGCCCGCGGGCATCGTCGACGGCGACGTGCTCCGCCTCTTTACCGACGGCCGCCTCGACGATGGTGCGAAGAAGGCTGTGCTTGATGGACCGGCTGGCGAGGCTGGGCGCATCGACAAGAGGAACGAGGTGCAGCGCTGGTGCGAGGAGCTCGCGTTGCTTGGTTGATTCAGTCGCTGCTGCAGGTCGGGTCGTTGCTGCAGCTTGAGTCAATGCTGTAGGTCGAGTTGCTGCTGCAGGTCGAGTCGTTGCTGCTGCTGCAGGGAAGCGGTGTTTGTCGTTGTGGAGCTTCTTCTTGTTTTCTTGTTGCTTTCTTGTTCAAATCAGAGCGGGTATTGTGAACTCGAGACCGCGTGATGGAGAGACATGCCTTGATGATGGTTGAGGCAGCTGGACAGCAGATGGGGTCAAGATGCAGACTGGCCTGATGTTGGGACCCACAGGGAACAGGACTGATGGCCTTTCCTGCTGTGATGGTGTTCTGAACAGCACCTGTATCTGTGCAACATGGTAGGCATGTTGTCTTCAGCCTGAAGCTGCTGGAGGCAGGGTTCAACTACGACAAGCCCGGTGACGATGGGAAGGCTCATGGTAGTGCCCTGTTTGATGAGCTTGTTGAGAAGACCTTTTGTAAAGCAGCACGGAAAGCTGATGGCCACATGCAGAGCTGATTCCTGGCCAAACTGGCCAATTAGGTACTCTGCTGCCAGTGCATCGTTGGCCAGCAGGTCTTCCTGCAAAAGGAAAAAAAAAATGATGCGTGGTTATCAGCATCCGTTGTCCCTCAAGCGCAGTGGCAACGGCGTACACAGCCTGAGTCCACTCACCCTTTGTCTTTCGACACACAAGCTGAAAAGAAGCAAGGTCGCGCGGACGCAGGTGCATCCAGACCGCAATGATGAGCTCAGTTGGGAGGCAGTTGATCATGTTGATAGGCGGAGGATCTTGTGGTGGCGGCAGCAAGGGCGTTGGTGGTTCCCCCTGGATGCTTGAGTTCAAGATGGCATGATGAAGAGGTCTGCTTGATGCACTGCTGCAGGTCCTCTGCCAGAGAGAGGGGGGAAGTTGAGGGTGAGCCTGTTTCAACGGCCTCAATGGATCCGTTGGTGACTGCAGAGGGAGTTGGCCAAGAGCAGAGGTGGGAGTCTGATAGCACTCAGGCCATGCCATGATGCTGGTCCTGTGTCTGTGTTGAGGTGTTTGACTCTGCCCTGTTTGGCCTCAGGGGGGTGTGCCCATGGGGTTGCAGGGGCATGGAGCATGACCGTGCATCCTTTGTTGCTGACATTATTGTTGCCCCACAGAATCTTAATGCCATAGTGCATGGTACACTCATCATTGTTGATGTGGATGAGGAAGAAAAGGTAGATTGGGGGTTTGGCCTGCTTGGACAGCTTGTTGAGACATGCCTTGATGATTGTTGAGGTGGCTGGACAGCAGATGGGGTCAAGATGCAGACTGGCCTGATGTTGGGACCCACAGGGAACAGGACTGATGACCTTCTCTGCCGTGATGGTATTCTGAACAGCACCTGTATCTGTGCAACATGCCTACCAGATTGTAGCTGCTGGAGGCAGGGTTCAAGAGGAACTGTTAAGGTTGCCTGAGGCTGTGATGATGCTTGACAAGATCATGAGCTCCTCACCAATGGTGAGGCAGTTGTGCTCCTCCCTGGATGGGACTACAGGTCGTCTTTCTGACTGGCTTGCAGATTGGCAGCCTTGTGGCATCAAACCAGAAGGATGTCATGCGGCAAGGGATGCTGTGCTCTGACGTGACCTTCACCAGGGAATCAGGCGGTTTCTCTATGACCTTGAGGGTGGCTCACCTCAAAGGTTTTCAGACCCCCACCAAGGTGAAGCCGATCTTCCCTTGCCTGCCCCCCTTACGCATCCCCTCAAAGGTCGGCTTGGAGGCGGCCCCCACCTGTCTGGTGCTCCTCATCCACCGGGGTCGCCTCCGCGTCAGGGGCACAGGGCAGGTCATATGCTTGGTGTCAGAGCTGTACTCCTGCAGAGCACATGCTCTGAAGGGCTTCAGCCCCCACCTGCCCTTCTGTATGAGCAACACCACAAGTCACCTCACAACCAGGCAGATGTCCAGTTGCAAAGGCTGAGGAGGTGGTCAGGTTGGATCCTGGTGGAAGGTGGATAGGGATCACATTCAATTCAAGCAAGCTGGCCTGGCTGAGGCTGGTTGCGCAAGACTCTTGGCCTGTCTGTAGACAAGTATCTGTTGGCAGATATCTGGTCAGCAGCCAGAGAAGCAGCACAAGAGGTAGACTGAGGAGGGTAGGGAACTGCCTTTTTTTCGGCTTGCTGATGCAGATTGCTTGCAGCAGCTGCTTGTTGCACCAAGCTACATGAGATGGCATAAGGAAGAAGAGCTGTTGTCTAAACTGCAGCAGCAACTGATTGCAACCTGCCGCACCACCACCCCTCTGTCGCGCGCCCGCTTCTGAGCGGGGCGGACGCCAGTTCGTCGGTGCGGCAGACTTTCCAACCCACCTCGCCTCCGAGGCCTCTCCATCATCTCTCCCTCAGCCGCCGCCATCTTCCACACGTCGGTAGCTTTCTCTCTCACCCACCCACCCTCCTCCTCTTCGCGGCCGCGCTTGGTCGCCCTCGCTCGCGGTCCCTTTGTTCTCGCGCGCATCTCTCTCGCGCTAGCTCGCTATCACGCCGCGCTCGACCAGCCGGCCCTTACGGCCCAGGCTGGGAGCTCGCAGCGACTTCGCCCGGAGTCCGACCCCCCAACCCCCCCTCCTCTCTCCCCGTGTTCCCTCTAATACTATGACCATTCCCCTCCCGCTCCATGCTTCCTCTCCCGCAGCGTCGGCGAGTCGGTGTCTGTGAGGTCAGAAACAAAAGAGAAAATTGCCGTGGAAACAAAGAGGCACAGCTGCAGCGGCAGAGCGGCACGATGGGGCGGGGTCATATTCAGGCTCTACAGGCAAACGGACGGGATACAGCGCCGGTGCTGTACGAGTCGATGATGCTCCGCACGGCGCTGTAGCTGCCTGCGACGAGGAGAAAGGCGCCGAGGACGAGGATGAGGTAGTCTGCCGAGGCCCTCGCAAAGCCGAGGGGCGTCGAGGCGCGCGCCGAGGCGCCGGGTGCGCCGCGTCGGAACCAGTGCTTGGCTCGTCGTCGCGCCGTTGCAAACTCCCCGCCGTCGTCGTCGGCGTCCCTCTCCTCCTCCTCCTCCTCTACGACGACGGCGGCGGCTCGCTGGTAGATGCTGGTGAGTGCCGGTACCATTACGCTAAAGACGCTGCCGCACACGGCGCCAATGAGGCCCATGAGGTCGCCGAAAAAGGGGACCGAGGCGGCAATGACGAAGCCAAACACGGCCAGGAGGGCGAGAGAGGCGAACCAGGTGAGCCAGTGGACGCGTGTGCTGCGTTCTAGGTGGGGCGTGTTGCGGAGGAGGCGGACAAAGGTGTACTTTGCGCCGACGTGGCCGTAGATGAGGGCCGTGATGAGGATGCCGGGCAGGGCGAGGCCGTAGGCCACCTTGGCGATGCGCACGCCGGCGCTGGCCAGGGCGGGCGAGGCGACGTAGTCGCCGATGCGGCCGTAGATGATGCAGCCGATGACGAGGTACATGGTTCCGACGAAGCCGTGGCCGACGACGACGGAGCGGGTGAAGAGGTGCGGGTGCTGCATCTCTGCGCTGATGGAGAAAAACGTCGCCGTGCCGCACAGCGAGAGGAGCTGGGTGCAGACGGCCGTCATGGCGGCCGTAAACGTGGGGCGCTGGACGGCGCGGATGCCCCAGTCGTCGATGCCGGCGGGCGCGCCGGCGGGGCGCGCCTGGGCGCACACGGCGATGACGACGGTCCAGACGGCGACAAAGACGCTGGTGAGGCCGATGTAGCCTGCGATGCCCATGTGCTTCATGGTGCGCGTTGCCGTCTGCACCGACACGACGATGACGGCGGCGACGACGGCCCAGACGAGCGAGCAGACGGCGTTGTCCGAGAGCGTGTACATGGCCGACGAGAACGTGACAAAGGTGGCGCCCGTGCAGAGGGCGATAAAGACCCAGTAGGCCCAGCCGATGAACTCGCGGCCGGCGGCGCCAAAGAGGAGCTGGCCCACGTCGCCGATGCTAAAGATGCCGCGGTGCGTGTTGCGCAGGTAGCCCGCCTGGAGGCCCGCGTAGCCCGTGACGAGGATCATGCCGACGAGCGAGACGAGGCCCGGCACGAAGCCGAGCACGCTCAGCGTCTGCGGGATGGCGAGCACGCCGATGCCGAACTGGTACTTGGCCACCAGCACCGCCGCCGCTTGCCTGTCGTGGCAGAGCGGGAGTAGGAGGGGAGAGGGGGTTCAGTTGTGGAAAGAGCGAGGAAAGTGGCGGCGACGAAGGGCGAGGTAGCGGCAGGCCAGGCGCGTCAGCCAAGTCGGGACGGTCCGCGCTGTGCGGCGACGGCCTTGGCAGGGGAGGCGCGCACTCACCACGAGACGCCGCGGAAGTTGGGTCCGTGGCCGCCGTCCTCTACGTTGCTAAAGACCTCGACGAGCTGCTCCTCGATCTTGGGCTTGGCTTCGGCCGTCGGCACGGCGGGCGCCAGCTCGAGGACGGCGACGTCTGCGTCGGGCCGTGGCTTTTCGGCGGCGTCGTCGCCCTTGACGTCGGACTGGGAGCTGGTGCGTGGCCTGTCCATGTCGTTGTGTCGCTGCTGGGTAAGTGTGCCGCGAGGTTGACGAAAGGTTGATTGACGGAAGGAGGAGGAAGAAGGGGGAGGGGGCAAGGAGGATGGGCGAGGCCGCTTGGATCGAGAGCGGTGGATCGACGCAGAGGACGTGGAGTGAGGCGGGGTCCTTAAATCCTTCTTGTTTGCTGCTGCGTGGATGTCTGTCTAGGGTGTCGTGAAGGGGGAGCGTGGCAAGATACTGTGAGCCTGTGTACGGGTCGACCGTACAGACGCTCGTCGTGGTGGCGGGAGCGATAAGGGCGGAAAGGGTGGGGCCACGGTCTACATACGGTAAGAAGAGGTAGGGAGGTATGCCCCGTGCCCGACCACGGCGCGCGATACAGTGGTCTCAACGACTCCGCTGTCGCTCTCGGGTACTGCCACCTTTACCCCATGATCCGTACCCCGCAACGCCGCACCGCTTCCCCGCATCCCGTGGGAGCCCTGCAACGTGACCCGGCATTGATGCCTCGCACCATACTCGAGGTAGCGCAGCATCGTCGACTCGGAGCTGGGCTGGGCGGGGTCGATAACGAGGAGCATGTTCAGAAAGAGGGGGAAGGGGGTGGACCCGCGGCCGTGACTCGCGAGCAGGCGTCGACGCCCAGAGGCAGGCGGGGTGGTTATGGGGCGGATGCGGGGAAGGTGCATGCATCCAAGATCCGACCGACCCGTAATTAGCCGCTCGCCATGGCGTGCGTGCAGCGTCCTGGCCTACAGCGTCCTGGCCTGGGCCCCCGGCCTGCCGCTCGACGAAATCAAGCGCGCCGACCACGGCGCCACGTGGGGCCTATTACCCGCTCCCGCTCGATACTGTGGCATCCGCCTGACCCTCGGGGCCTCGTGGCATCCCAACGTACGGTACGGTGGTGAGGTCCCGACGGTCCAGACGTCGATTGCGGTCGGCGAGGGTATAGGATCATACCCACCCACCCTCCAATCCAAGTGGCGGTGTCCCGTCTAAGCCTTGGCGCTCACGCCTGCCGCCGTAGCTCGATGGACGGATGACTAGATGGCCTCGAGGGGTCACATGTGTGTTGTGTGCCTGACTGTGTACAGACGTAGTGGCACCGGCTCCAGCGGTGCGGCACAGACATATCGACTCGCCTGCTCTGGCTGCACAGTCGGATCGAGGTGCGAGCTGCTACTGGATCCGCCGCCGTACAGGCAGCGGCACGGCCTGGCCTGACCACCTCACGCTCGCGTCTCGCACTCAGACGGGGGGGTGGGCAGCATCATGGGTCACAACGCGTTCAGATGGTCATCAACGACTGCCGTGGTCCTTAGCCGTCCGTCCCGTCGGACAGACGTCCTCGAACCGCACTACAGCCTAGCGGCAGCTGGACCCTTGCTGTGGGGGAGCAGGTCCTGCGGCGTCGCCTCTTGGACGCTGTCGAGCTGGCGCGTGGCCACCTCGCGGAAGGGATCAAACCTCTGCGGGTCAAAGTTGGCATCGGCCCAGACGTGGTAGGCCCACGTCCAGCCGCGCAGGTACTCGCGCCTCTGCTCGAGCGCAAGCGGCAGCGAGTCGAGCACGCCACGCCGCGAAGCCGCGGCGCGAGTGCGGGCAGGGCGCAGGCCGAGGCACTCGAGCGCCACTTTGCCAATGACGGGGAGGAACTTGAACAGGTGTCCGCCGTCTCCGCCCAGCACGCTCAGGTTCGACACGCCCGGCACGCGGTCCATGAGCCAGGTGCCCGACAGCGCGTCGCCGTACCAGCACAGCCGCGTCGCCGTAAACGGCAGCGCGGCCAGCTCCGGCCAGAAGCGTGCCAGCTCCCGCCGCAGCGTCTGCACCGCCTCGCGCGGAATGGCACGGCCGTACCGCCCCTCGTCGCGCACCAGGTGCGAGGGCAGGTCCCAGCAGCCTCGCTGGTCGAGCGGCACCGAGCATCCCTCGTCTTGTCCGCCCGCCCCGCCGCCGTCCGGTCGTCGATGGAGGTAGCCCGATGAGTGGGTGGCCATCTTGAAGACTCCCTCGTCGTTGGGCTCAAAGCAGTAGAAGCCCGACGAGGCGTCCACCATGACGGGCGCGCCGCGGTACACGGCCTTGACGCTCGGCGGGACGCGGATCAGGGCCACCGTCTGCGCCGTGGCGGGCACCCGGGGACGCGGACCGAGGCGCTCTGGCAGCGTCTGCTCCATGAGCGCGTCGAGCCAGGCTCCGGGGGCACAGGACGATCTCGTCGGCCGCGTACGAGGCGCCGGAGCTCGTCACCACGCCCTTGGCGACGAGGTGCCCGGACGCTCCGGCGTCGGTGCACCACTCGATCTTGACCACTTCGGCGGCGCCGATGACCTTGCCGCCCAGGCAGCGTACGCGATCCAGGACCGCGTTGACGGCTGCGCCCGAATTTGCCCAGCCGCCTGAGGGGTTGTGGTAGCCGATGGGCCTCTTTGCGAAGTCGCCCTGGCGCCTCCGCGTGCCGACGACGTCGACGACGTCTTGGGTCGTGTGAAGCCATCGCACCTGCTGGCCCGAGCGTTTCGCGACGTCGAAGCCCTTTGAGACGAAGCTGGCCGCCTTGGACTGCGGGTCGGTCGTGTTGCACGAGACGACGACGCCCGTGTTGCTAAAGTGCGGGCTGTAGAGCGGGTTGTGGTTCCATTCGTCGAGCGCCATGGAAGCGAGGTGGTGCATGCAGGGATCCGAGTAGTCTGAGCGCACTGCCTTGTTGAGATCGTTGCTCGCTGCATCGGGTGCGAGGCGGCCGTCGGTGGAGCGTTCGAGGATGGTGACGTCCGAGTAGCCGGCCTCGAGGGCGGCGAGGGCGCAGGAAGATCCGAAGACGCCGCCGCCGACAAACAGGAGGCTGCGCGCGGCCGAGGGCGAGGCGTCGTGGGGAGCGGACATGTTGATGTCGTCGAGCAGAAATCGAGGAAAACGAGACGGTGGCAAGGGGAGAAGATGCTTCGGGCAGGCAGGAGCGGGTTGCGACTCGCAGCGACGGTCTTGGACGGGTGCGGCTGGGACGCGTCTATGTATCCAAGTAGCTGCGATTGGGTCGCTGGTGCACGAGCTTGCCGGTCAAGTGGGCTGGCTGGGCTGGGGTCAGTAAGTAATTAGACTAGCGACTTGGGAGCGCAAGTGGCAAGCGGCAGGTGGATGGGCAGGTGGCGATGGTGACCAAAAAGATTCAGTGTCGGAGAAGAAGGGAGCCTCGAGCCAGAGTCGAGGTGGTCAAAGAGCCCCCCGACGGCTGGGGAGCGCCCAGGACCGCCTCGGCGGCGCAACAAAGGAGGCCGGTAAAAAAGAGAAAATCGGCTAATTGGCGGGGCATTTTTCGATCTCAGGCATCGCACGGAGGCACGAGAGGGCAGCGCAGCGGTGAATTCGGATAATTCGCCACGCGTTGCGCCAGGACGACAGATATTACCCGATCCGAGGCGCTCGCGCCTGCGCCTCGCCCCGCCTCGTTATCGGCGTGCGGGGTATCAGCAGGCGGTATGTATGTACATGGGCAGATGCATGCGCCTAACGAGATACGGCAGGGATGCAGCCACGCCCACCTCGCCTGACCTCGCCGGCTCGCTATGCCACGCCACGCCACGCCACGCCACGCTGGGCAGGATACGCTCGTGGCGACATTGTCGGGTCAAGTGCATCCAGGCTGCGCACCGACGACGACGATGACGAGGGCCGCGAGCGGGTCAAAGGCCATCTCGATGTGCGCGATCCCTCTTTGGTGTGTGCATCGACGCCTGTCAATGCGGCATTGCTCAAATACCATATCAGTCAGAGGCCCTTGACCGCTCGAGCAGGTGTCTCCCCTACCTCGTCCCGGCAGCCTCAACCCTCTGACGACCAGCACGCCAGCCATGTCGTTCCTCGTTTCGTGGTGGTACCCCAGCCTCGCCCCCTCTTCCTCGTCCTCGCCCTCGTCCATAGCCAGCGACAAGCTACCATCGCCATCGTCACTACCACCTCCACCGCCACCTACGACAGGAGAAGAGCTACAGGCGGCATGGACATCGCTCCTCGAAGAGGGAGGGGGCGAGTGGCCGCCGAACCCGGACTTCACCGACTGGCCGCCCGTTCTCGAGCGGCTGCACCACCTCGCCCTCGAAATGGGACCGAGGACGGGCGTCGTCGATCCGTCGACGCTCGGCCAGCGCGACGTCGATGCCAACCGCGCCTGGCTGGTACAGGGCCTCGCTGGCACCGACGAGATCGTCGACGCGCTACGAAGCCTCGACCAGCGTCGCCTGTGCGCCGTCTCGGCCTGCGTGGCCTGGCTCTGCCACTACTACCGGTGCGTTGTCCCCCCATCCCCCATCCCCCACCCCCCGCTTCCCATCCTACCACCCATCGATGGGCGGAACACACACGAGACTCTGAGCATGGCCACGCACGCTGAGACCCTCTCCCCCTCACACCGTCCTCGATCGATCCGCGCGGCGGCGCCGACACGGAACCCAGCTGGGGCACCACGCCCGTCCTGACGTGTGCGCAGCAGGAGACGCAGTCGCACCTCCCCGCGCCCCTGACGGCGGCCATGGCGTACCTCAACCTGCGCCTCGGCATCCTCTCGACGGGTGGCAGCCTGACGACGATGGTGTACCACAACTACGACGTCCATCTGGACCGGCTGCACTACTCGCTCGTCGAGCACCTCGGCGACGCGCGCATCTACTCGAGCGAGCTGTGGATGTCCAAGCTCTTCGCCCAGATGGAACGCATCGCGCTGCCCCTCTTTGGCGCCTGTATCCGACTCGCCTCCGACCTCGACGCCGGCACCGACTCCGAGGCCATGGTCGAGGCCAACGACGCCATCCGATCCGCCTTCTCCTTTGGCCACCGCCACATGCGCGAAGGCACCGTCAACCGCGACACCTGGGCGCGCTACGTCGGCGGCTTCTTTGCCTGGAGCTGGGACGGCTGCCCGGGCGCCAGCGGATCCCAGTCCTTCCTGATCCAGTGCATCGACGCCCTCCTCGGCATCCCCCTCACCGCCCCGCGCACCCACCTCACCTCCCACCAGCGCCGCTTCGTAGAGGCCCTCCGCGACGCCCAGCTCCGACAACGCGCCAACGCAGGCGCCTCCCCCCTCGCCGCAAAGTCGCTCGACGAGACGGCCCGCATCCTAAAAACGTGGCGCCTCGGCCACATCCGCAGGGCAATCTACTACGAGGACGTCGACCTGCCCGAGCGCAAACCCACAATCGGCCGCTTTGGCGTCGACGCCGACCGCGGCCTGGCAGTCATGCTCGCCCGGATGACGGCCAGGCTGCGCGACCGCATCACTGTCACCATGTAGAGTAGAGCAGAGTAGAGCAGAGTAGACCAGAGTGGAGCAGAGTAGAGCAGAGTAGAGCAGAGTAGAGTAGAGTAGAGTAGAATAGAGTGCGCGCGTCGGGCCAGCGCCTGCGGCGGTCAACTCGGGACATTGTCATGATATTCCTGCCACTCTGCTCCGGGCGCGCCGAGAGCGCCTGTCGACTTCAACTGGCTCCGTCGCCAAAGATCGACTGCCTGATGAGCGCCTGCACGCTCGGATCGAGGTAGAGGTCGTCGGACGAGGCCAGCGGCGGCAGCGGCGGCGGCTCGCTGCCCAGCATGCACCACTGTTCGGCCAGGTCGGCCATCCACAGGCTCGGATCGTCCAGATCCGCCGTCGTGTCGGTCTGGTCCATGACTGCTGGCAGCGTCGCTGACGCCATCGCCGGTGGTCCCTCGGTAGGAGCCATGTGCGGTTCCGCCAGGCCGCCTGCCGGATCGAGCCCCTCCTGCAGCCGTGCCGGCGCCGCCGACAGGCCCTGCGTGTCCCTGCCGGGGTTGCCATCGCACTCGGTCGCAGTAGTGGCACGTCCTTGCTGCGGCGGTTGCTGCTGGGCCGGATACCGCTGTTGCGGGTGCTGCTGCGGCGGACCTGCTCCATTCGCCTCCGCGTCTTCGCCCGACGGCGGGCTGGGCACCCACCCGAGGCGCCTGGCTGCCGTCTCGAGCGAGTCCCTGCGCCTCTTGGCCAGCCGCGAAGTGGCCGAGATCTCGTCGAGCCAGCAGAGGCAACTCCACACGGCGGCTCGGCACTGGCGCGAGAGCGAGGCCGAGTCGGCCGCAGTGTAGGGGATCAGGATGGACGCGGCGGTGAAGATCGAGTAGATGTTGTTGCTCGCGATGAAGCGCAGGCCAGAGCGCGAGATGCCACCAAACAGCTGGACGACCGACAGCGCCGAGGCGAGACAGATCGAGGCGGCCGTCGACGCGTGTTGGTTCGACGTTGTCGCTACTGCCGCCGCCGCCGTGCCGGGTGGCCCATCGCCATCCGGGGCCACGGACGAAGTCGCCATCGCTGCGGCTGCCGACGACGACGACGATGCCGACGCCGCGGCGAGGTCTTCGTTCCACAGCACAAAGGGCCGAAAGTTGAGGATCTTGGCAATGTAGACCTCGATGAGAAGGCAGGACACGTTGGGCACGGCGGCCGAGCTGTTGGGGCCGATGCGGAGGTGCTGGGGCCAGCGGTGGACGAGCTCCTGGAGCTCTCGGTCAATGTCGAGGCTCTGCTCCCAGGTGAGCGGCAGGTGCGACTGCTGCCGCTGGAGCAGGAGCACCTCGTCGTCGTGGTCGTCGACGACGCCATGGTCCCACTTTAGCAGCGCCTTTTCGAGCATGTGGAGGATGCGGGTGGTGAGGTTGAGCAGCGAGAGGGCATGCAGGCGGCCAAGCACCTTTGCCGGATCGCCGCCCTCGACGACGGGCGAGGCCTCGTAGACGACCTCAAACTCGTCCGGCTCGCACTCGGACGTGAGCTCGGCGGCGATGGTGTCGAAGCGGAACGAGGGCGGCCGGCGCATCTCGACCGAGATGACCTTGTCGAGGCAGTAGCACGACCAGAGCGAGCGCAGCTGCGCCTGGTACTCGCCGACGCTCATCCGCGCAACGGTGCTCTGGCGCGGGCGGTGCAGGCCGAGGTTGGTGCAGAGCTGGATGGCGTATCCGAGGAGCAGCGAAGCCTGGCGGGCGTCGCCGGTGCCAAAGACGCGGACGACGTGGAGCAGGAGCGCCTGAAAGACGTCGAGGCTGGGTCTGCTGAGCGCCTGCATGGTACGCTGTACGGCGGCGTCGGCGATGGCCTCGACGTAGCGGTGGGCGGCGGGCGAGTCTGCGGCGATCGAGGCCGAGGTGCAGATGATGGCGCTGAAGAGGGGCTCGCGGATCTCGGTCGAAAGGCGGGCGTCGGGGATGCGCACCACGTCGGGCTTGTAGAGCAAGGGCCAGTGTCCGTGCGAGTGGCGCCAGTAGACGTCAAAGAGGAAGCGGACGACGGTCGATGGCAGGCGCTCGAGGTCGGTGCCGAAGCGGTGGAAGTTGTGTGCGGTGGGTGCCTGCCGGTCGGGGGCGTCGTGCGGGTCGGTGGCGTCGTGGTCGATGGCCTGCGCCCGCCGCAGCCGGTCCGACCGGGAGGGGAAGGTGCGGCCGAATGCATATGCATCTGGGAAGCCGATGCCGCTGTGGGCCGTGAGGGGAGGCAGTCGGAGGCGGTGGTCGTCGTGCCAGGCATCGATGTGCGAGGGCAGGTTGCGCGGCGCGGGCGTGGCTTGGCCGGTTGCGAAGACGCTGAGGCTGCGCTCGAGGTGCGGCGCGGCGGCAGCAGCGGGGTCCAGGTGCGTAGGCCTTGGGAAGCTCGACGGCGTGCGAGGGCTAGGCTGGACAGGCGCCGAGTCCGACGCCGCGGGGTTCCAGCATCGGCCGCGGTGCACGCCAGCAACAAGGTCGGCCGTGGAGCGCGAGGGGCCCAAAGCTTGGGCTTGGGGCGGGAGATCGCCATGGCGGTCGCGGTCGCGCTTGTTTGGTGGCCTTCCCCGACGCCTTCCGGTGTCTACGTACTCGCAGTGGACGTTTGCGAGGGTGCAGGGGGTGCACGCTGGCGAGAGGCCATCGCAGCGTTTGCGCTTGGTGGAGCAAGCGCGGCAGGCCTTTGAGATGCGGGTGAGCTTGGGAGCCATGTGCGGGCGGCGGGCGGGCGGGCTCAGCGATTGCGAGGATGCGGTGGGTGACGAGCGGGCGAGTGCCGTGGAACGTCCACCAGGGCGCAGGTTTGGGCGGGCGGGGCGGCCGTCATCCCTGAAGGGGCGCGGGTTGGCGAGGCACAGTCAAAGCGGCGGGGCCGGGCGAGGCGAGGCGAGGCGATGGAGCATTGAGTAGGAGTAGTGGTGGCGCTGAATGTGGTGATGGCGGCGAGAGCAGGCCTGGCTGCAGTACGCAGAGTAGTTAGGTAGGTGCAAGATGGAGGAGGCGAGCCACGCCATGGCTGTCACAAGCGGGGCGGGGAGAGCGGAGAGAGCGGAGAGCGAGGTCAGTGATGAATTTGAGCCAAGCGGGGCGACCCGACCCATGGCCCGCGCGCGCAAAAACTGGCAGGCCAGGCCGAGGCCAGTGAGGCCAGCCAGACTGAGGGCCAGAGTGTGTTGAGTGCGAGCCAAGGGTCTGGCAACCCTCCGAGGCTTGACTGGCCAGGCTAGCTGCTGCTGGTGGCGTGTCTCTCGGACCACGGCCCGAACCGCGATGCACAGCCACCAGCTCTCTGCCGTCGCTCGACTGCCGCCTGCCGTCTGCCATCAGGACCATCACCCCCACCATCGTCATCAAGAGGTCGTTGCACTACAGGGCCAGACTACGGCTACCGGCTCCCCCGACCTAGTCTACGGCAGCCGCTCAAACACGGGCATGTCGTCGATGGGCGCGTCGACCTCGACCGTCTCTCCTCCGTGCCAGGCCTCGCCGCCATCCTCGGCCTCGCTCTGGGCCGCACCGCCTCGGAAGCGCTTCCACCTGGCGCCCGCCGGGAGGTAGACGCGACGCTTGGTCTGTCCCGCCTCGAGGATGGGCGCGACGAGGAAGCGGTGGCCGTACATGTACGCGTCCTCGACCTTCCACGCCTCGGCGTCGTCCGGGAACTCAAAGAAGCAGGTGCGCATCACCGGCCAGCCCCTCTCGTGCGCCTGCCTCATGAGCTCGCGCGTATAGTCGCGCAGCGCCTCGCGGATCAAGAGGTACTTTTTGAGGATGACAAAGTTGGCCTCGCCGTAGCTCCACACCTCGTTGGGCGCGCCGCTGAGGCACTCGGCGCCGCCCGTCGTGCCGTACTGCGGCTGCTTTGGCTCCCGGTCGCCGTGCAGCCGCATCACGGGGCAGAAGGCCGCCCACTGGAACCAGCGCACCAGCAGCTCCCGGAACCCCTCGTCGTTGGGATCGCCGCCGTGGAAGCCACCGGCGTCGGTCGTCCACCACGGGATGCCCGCCATGCCCATGTTGAGCCCCGCCGCCAGCTGGTTGCGGAAGCTGCCCCACGAGGAGGCAATGTCTCCACTCCAGACCAGCGAGCCGTACCGCTGCGAGCCCGCCCAGGCGCACCGCACCAGGTTGACGACGTCGCGCTGCCCCTCGGCCTGCTGGCCCTCGTAAAACGCCTGCGAGTAGCACACCGGGTACCGGTTGCCCACGGCCAGCAGCGGGCCGTCGTGGTAGCGGTAGTTGTCAAACGAGTAGACGGCGTACTCGGGCTCGGCCTCGTCGAGCCAGAAGACCTTGACGCCCAGGTCGGCGTAGTTGCGCTTGCACTTGGCCCACACGTACCGCCGCGCCTCGGGCGACGTGAAATCGGCCATCTGCGTCTGGCCGCAAAAGTCGAGCTGCGTCGCGATGCCGCGCTCGGCGCGCACCAGCAGGCCGCGCTCGCGCATCTCGGCGTAGCTCTCGGAGCGCACGTCGATCGTGGGCCAGATGCTCACCATGAGCTCGACGCCCATCTCCCGCAGCTCGTCGACCATGGCCTTGGGGTCCGGGAAGTAGGTCGGGTCGAACCGCCAGTCGCCCTGCGTCGGCCAGTGGAAAAAGTCGACGACGATAACGTCCATGGGCAGCCCGAGGCCGCGGTGCTTGCGCGCCACCTCCAGCAGCTCTTGCTGCGTCTGGTAGCGCAGCTTGCACTGCCAGAAGCCGAGTCCGTACTCGGGCATCATGGGGACGGTGCCCGTGGCGGCGGCGTAGGCCTGTGCGATGTCGCGCGGCGAGTCTCCGGCGACGACCCAGTAGTCGAGGGCGCGCGAGCTGCGCGACTCGAACGACATGACGTTGCGCCCAAAGACGGCGCGCCCGACCGAGGGGCTGTTCCAGAGGAAGCCGTAGCCGCGGCTCGAGAGGGCAAAGGGCACGCTGGCCTGCGAGTTGCGCTGCGCCAGCTCGAGGTCGCACCCCTTGAGGTCCAGGTTGGGCTGCTGGTACTGGCCCATGCCGTAGATGCGCTCATCGACGTCCTGCGACTCGAAGCGCGCCGTCACGGCAAAGTCGCCGCCGGCGATGGGCGCAAACTCGCGCGCGTCGACCAGGATGGCGCTGGCCTTGGGGTCCGTCGGGTCGTCGCGCCGACGCTGGTACTCCTCCAGCAGCACCTTGCCTGTGCGCGCGTCGGTGACGATGAGCTTTCCGCTCGCCGAGACGGTGGCCTTGATCTTGCCGTTGGTGATCGTACCGCCGGCCTTGCTGCCCGCGGCGCCGTCGACGCGGACGACGGGCGCGGCGGCATGCGCGGGACGCGGCTGGCTCAGCGCCCAGTCCTCGTCCGGCAGCTTGGGGTACATGGTGGAGCGCACGCGGAGCGCATTGTCGTGCCACGCCTCGACGACGACCGTCTCGCCGCCGTAGCGGTAGACGAGCTTTCCGTCTTGTTCGAAGAGCATCGTACAGTCAGAAGGCGATCGGGCGAGAGGAAGTCGGGCTGCGCGTTGAGAAGACGTCTGGAAGGAGGGATGTCCTGGCAGCTTGAGGATGTGTTGGGATGGGAAGTGGGAAAGGGGGGACCTAAATTGCGAGCAAGAGCGCTCCTATAAGGAGCGCATCCGTCGTCGCCGCTGGAGCATGGACCTGCCTCCGGCGCGGCCCAGCCGTGACCCGCTATGATCCTCTGACTGCCCGAGCAGAGCAGGCGACAGAGTCTGCACGCGATGCAAGTGGGTGCCGGCAACTAGACAATCGTGGTCGTGGGGGAGAGGGGACGGGGCCAAGTTGCCAGCTCGGTAGCTCGACGAACGGTCGGGCCGTCTGGAGGCGGCCGTGACGACCCCACACGCTTGTCTCTGCGAGCAGCACGGCTGAAGCCGCAAAAGGGCACGCCACGCTTCTTCAGTTGTCCTGAACCGCGGCCACCACCACCGCCGCCACCCACATACATGGCGAGGACTGCGGCAGCGAGGTCACGCGTTGAGGTGCCGTCAACAATAGAGCCTTCGGGAGTGCGGCGTCGCACACTCCCAAACGCACGCACAAAGAGACGCCGGTCGCGGTGCCGATACCGCGTCATTGTTTGCCCCACACTCAGCCATCCGAGCCGGGCCGGGCTGGTCGCTGCGGTCCTACTGTATGTACACTCACGCTATCGGCCATCCAGGTCGGCCTACATATGTACCTGGATACGGAGCCGCTGTGCCGCCGCTGGACGTACAGTTGACCTGCTCCCTCTTCGCCTTTTGACTGCCGGAGTCGAGGGGACGATGCCCGTTTCTTCTCGACCCACATGTATACATATGTATGTACCCCACACAAATTGGCACAAGGCCCTGCAGGGGGTGCAACGCTTTGTTCGCCGTCGTTGGCGGGCAAGCGCGGCACGGCAATCTGGTGGCAAAGAGGACCAGGCGAGGTAGAGCAGACCGAGGTGGCACCGACCCGTTCGACCCCGTTGGGACCTCGCTCGTCGCCGGTCGCCGTGAGCCCAGCATCTGTCCGACGCGCTTCTCGAGAGGTGTACGTCGCCGTCGTCGTATAGGCGTGCTGATGCTGCCACCCGGCGAGGCCGCTCGGCGATCATCTCTCGGCAATCTCCCGTGCCTTCGCGGTTGCTCCGTGGCGTGGGCTATGTATGTAGCTGTTCTCGACCTTCCCTGCCTGGTCTTTGTCCATGATGCGGTCGGGCTCCTCACAACAGCCGAACAGGGGCTCATGCACCAGAAGAATAGGCTAGGGGCAGAAGAAGGCCATTTGCCGTCGCTTCGCTCTGCGCCCAGGACTGCAGGTACCGACATTTCGTCCCCTTTTATCGTTCGAAGACAACGACAAGAGCATGCCATGGCGCGCACGCGTAACTGGAACAGCCTCGACCATGAACCTTGCAATTCTGCTCTCGAGCACCTCGTTCCGCGTCGTATCGACTGCAATCAGCAGAGATAGGCTGGCAGAGGTCGCGCAGGCTCGCTCGCTCGCTCTCTGTGCTTCAGCAAGGCAGGCTCGGACCGATGCCATTCTAACGCGCACGCGAAGACCTTACGGAAAAGAAGAGATGCCGATTCGTGTTGTGCAGTCGTGTATTGAAATCGTAAGAGACTGGAAAAGGCGAGGAAATGCGAGGATGGTCGCTACGCTATGCTACCGCCGCTCTCGTCTCGGCCAGCCGTGGCATCCTCTTTCGACTCGAGGCAGATCAGGACGCTCCGGAGCCCTCGCAAAGGGCGTCCGCTGTTCCACTCTTCGTCCATCCTTCACTCCTTGGCAAGGCGAAGGCTTCAACGGGCAGCGGCGGCGGGCGGGACCGAGATGTCGATGGTGTAGGCGCTGTCGAGCTTCATGTCGAGGTTGACGGTGAGCTTGTCGTCGACTACGGCGACGTCGGCGTGCGAGACGGTGACGGGTCCGTCGACGCGCCCGCCGCCGTTGTACGGGATCTCGTTGACGAGCACGCGGAGCGACGTCTTGCCCTTGAACGCCGCGACGGAGCCGAGGGAGCTGACGACGACCGGGTACGCGCCCGTCTGGCCGCGCGTGCCGGCGAGGATGTGGATCAGGCCGCTGTCCGGCTCCTGGGTCGCATAGAGGTCGTAGCAGTTCGAACCCGTCGCACCGGCCCGCGCCACGACGCCCCTCTGGACTTGGGTGTAGTAGTGGTAGACGTGCCAGTCTCCCAGCTTGTAGAACGCTCCCTGGTCAGCGCCACCGACCAGCTTGGCCATGTCGTTGTGCAGGCCGTGCCACATGCCCCAGTTGGCGCGCTGGCCCCAGGCGCCCGACCGCTCGAAGCGCTCGAGGAACCAGGCGCTGTAGGCGGGCGTCTGCTCGTCGCTCCCGGCATACTCGTTGATCTGCACCGGCCTATCGGGCAGGCCGTGGGCCTTCTTGACGTCCTCCAGGCCCTGGACCGAGACGACGGGGTCGTTGCCGCAGTTGGCTGCCTTGCGCCCCTGCAGCTGGTGGAACGAGTAGATGTCCGGCTGCACGTCCGGGTTGGCCTTGATGTTGGCACCAAACTTCTGCCACCAGACGTTGCCGCTGTTGGGCTGCGACGACGTCGTCGGGCCCTGGAGAAGCACCTGCGGGCCCAGCGCGGCACGGTACTTGCGGTAGGCGTAGTTGTACTGCTGGATCCACTGGTCCTGGCTGCGCGGCCAGAAGCCTTGGATGTCGGGCTCGTTCCAGATGTCGATGTGCATGCCAAAGAGCATGTCGTTGGACTTGAGGTCCGAAATCAGCTGGTCGAGAAACTTGCCGTACAGGTCGCAGTTGCCGTTGTCGCAGGGGTAGACTTTGGCGGCAGCGTTGAAGCTGTCGGCGCCCCAGAGGTCGTGGGGCAGCAGCACAAACTGGGCACCGTGGGCGCGCGCGTACCGGTAGTTCTGGAGCGTCGAGTTGAACCGGCCCTTGTAGCCCTCGAGACTCGACACGAAGCCAGGGTAGGCCTTGATCTGAGCACCGCCGGCTCGCACAACGTTGATGCCGGCGCCGTTGAACAGGTCGGAGGGAAGTACGGGGGCCTTGTCGGGCGTGTAGGCAGCGTCGTTCGGCCTGGCGAGGGTCACAAGAAGGAAGGGGGGAGGGCGTTGCAGATCAGCACTCGATCTTGCCACAGAGGGTGTCTGAGAAGGCTTGATGGGACTCACACGCCGTAAAGGATACCAGCTCCGCTATCAATTGGTATTGGAAGCGTGGCATGGGAGCAGACACTCGAATCAGCGCGGGTTCGGGAAGCGCGCTGAACCGGAAGGATTCTGTGCTCACAGGTGCTTGGGTGCAGCACCCTTGACGGAGAGGTCGACATAGCCTTGCCCGCCCAGGCTGCTCTGGCCAAGCGCCTGCATCGCAGGTGCAGCAGCAAGCAAGGCCGCAAGAACTTGAAGGAAGCTGGAACGCATGATGAGCCGAGGAGCGCAAAGTCAGGTCGGGGGGTCAGAGGCGGGGTCGATAGGAAGCAGGAAGGTGTGCAGAAGGGTGATTTCCAGGACGATAGGCTGATGGCAAGGCTCGGAGCGCGCTTTTGTATCGAGGCGTGCGATGCTTCGAGACCGTGAGGAACCGTGGACTGGCCGCTCGATGGTGGCACGAGGCCTTGACTGCCACAGCGAATGATCGTCCGAGAGGCCAGTATCCCGTCCTGGTCCTGCTGCGACCGGCAATCTTGTCGCCTTGCGTCAAGCAGCCTACGCTGCTGGTCCGCTGGAAAGATCGTATAGAACTCGGAGCGACATGGATAGAAAGCCGAAGCCGGTATGGTGCAAGAGTCTGGCTTGGGCTTGGACGGCATCGATGGTGGTCGACCAAGATGCAGCTGGACGATTTCGACCTGCCTCCAGTCGAGCTGGTTCGAGAGCCGCTTTCCCATGTCTACAGAGCGTTGACTTCGTTCCCTGGCCGTGTGGGGAAACAGCGCGCGAACAAACCGTACACGTCGCCGGTCACAGTCGTGCCCTGTCGTTCTCTCGTTCTCTCGCTCGTGAACCATCCAGTCTAGTGGAGAGACGAGTCGTTTGTAGCTTCTGTTGGAGCGGACAAGGGAACGAGGCAATCTGGGGTGCCACGGCCATCGACCAAAGGCAGGAGAATGCCGGCAGTGACAATGAGCCGCGCAGGGGCGCTGTCGCACTCCCTTGCAACGCGGGGCAAGCAGATACCGTCTACATCCGTGCCTCTTCATCTCATACAGCATGGCTGAAGTGCAGCCTCCTGACTAGCCCGAAGGCCAGCAACTAGCCTGTGGACAACGGCAGGGCCAGCGAGCGTGTCTGCGTCCAAGGCGCCACAGCGACAACGGGGTCTTTCGACGGCGCGGCGGATCCCATCCCCGGTGTCGGGCCACGGATGAAGCCCACCTGCCTGTCCTCTTTGATGCCCGACGAAAAGGCACGATACGGCTCCCCCACTCGCTTGATGCGTGGCCGGATGACCGCACACGCTGGACACCGACACCCAGAAAAAATAAAAGAGACAAAAGCCGGCGGTCCAAGCCGAGACCGGAGACCTGCATCCGTGTCGACGCCATGCAATCTTTCGGGCCGACAGCCCTGACTGAGCTACTATACACAGGCGCCAAAAGTGCCGTCGCCACCATCTGACCACGGTCAGATCTGACTCCGGTGCAGCATTGGGGCCCCGCCTCGTTTGTGCGCAGCTTCATCGGCTCGATGTGGGGGTGTCCGTGCTTGGCCTCGCGTCCGGAAGCCCCCGTCTTTCCAGCTCCTTTGATTCTCAAAGAAGGCCTTCGATCGTCCTTTGGCCCTCGCTATGATCCGGCATCGACTCAGCTCCTCATAGAAAGCAGTGTCGGCATTCTCGTCGGCATACTCGCGCATCGACGTGCATCATAGAGGCTCAGGTACAGCCCAGCCGTTGTGAACCCGCGCTGCCTACGGATGTCAGGTCCGTGCCACGGCATAGACAGCTATCAGAGTCGCCGGTCCGTCTCCCTCTCCCAAACAAAGGATGGTGCACATCAGCGCCACGGCGAGGTACCGGCGCCAGACGAGACCGGCATCTCGTACCCCTTCTCCCTCGATCAGACCGGCCGCGATTCCTCCTTCAGTCTGCAGTTTGAGGTCGTCTTTGTGTCCGGGTTGCCGTCCCGCAAATGGTCACAACGACCCACGCGGGGCCGGCCCCTTGTGGGGTCCCCATGGGGATCGTGCAGCGCGCCATGGCGACTCCGTCCTCTGTCGCTTTTGGAGAAGCAGCATGCAAGCTCGTTGCGGACCCGCTGGCTGCCTGGCATCAGAGTGACAGAGTATCCGATGCGATATAAGGCCGATGAGGTCGTGCTGCATGCAGATTTCCTGCTCAGACCCACGTTTCCCTTTAACCCCCTCCCACGAAGCAGTCGCGACCTAGCCATCCTCCCCTCCCAGCTTCCCGTTGGCCGTCAGGCGATCGCTCGAGAAACACTCCTGATCAACGCAATGGAACACGTATCTGAACTCGGATCGGCCCAACCCACCGCGCTGGTCACGGCAGAGGAAAAGAACCTGGCCGCCCGGCTCGACGGGGACCACAAGCACACAGCGCAGCTCGCCGCCAAGGCCGACGACGATGCGCACAAGCTCACGATCCGACAGGCACTGCGCAGGCACAGCACGGCGGCGGCGTGGTCGGCGGTAAGTTCCTGATCTCGGCGCCAGCTGCGGCACGCGCGGACGTTTGACGTCGGTCGGGGCTGAGTTTGCCATGCACGCCCTTTGAATACCTTCCCTGCCCTTCCCAGCTACTCTCGACGGCACTCATCATGGAGGGCTTTGATCTTATCGTTATAAGTTCGTTTTTCGGACAGGTGAGGCGAGGCGATCCTTCACGACTCGGCCGCCTCCGCTGCATCGTCCAAGATGGCTGCTGACACGCACGGGGGGGCCCCCGATTTCCTACCGGACGCCGTGTGACGACGCCGGTGGTCATTGCAGTCGCAGTTCCTGCAGCGCTACGGGAAGCCCGACGGCAAGGGGGGCTACGCGCTGTCGTCGGCGTGGCAGACGGGGTTGACCAACTCTGCCGTCTGCGGCGAGATCATCGGGCTCGCCATCAACAGCTGGGCCTCGGACCGATTCGGCTACCGGCGCACCTACATGGCGGCCATGGCCATGATGGCGGCGTGCATCTTTGCCACGTTCTTCTCGCCGAGCCTGCCCATCCTGTCGCTGGGCGAGGTGCTGTGCGGGATCCCGTGGGGCATCTTTCAGACGCTGACGACGGCGTACGCGTCCGAGATCTGCCCGATGGCGCTGCGGCCCTTCCTCACGACGTACGTCAACATGTGCTGGGGCGTCGGCATCCTCCTCTCGTCGGGCGTGACGCGCGCCACGCTCGACATCCACGGCAAGTTGGCCTACAAGCTGCCCTTCGCGCTCCAGTGGATCTGGCCGGTGCCCCTCTTTGTTGGCGCGTTTCTGGCGCCCGAGTCGCCCTGGTGGCTGGTGCGCAAAGCGCGCTACGACGAGGCCAAGCACTCGATCCGGCGCCTGACCAACGCCGACCAGCGGTCCGAGGCGAGGATCAACGAGGAGCTCGCCCTCATCCGTTACACGACTGCACTCGAGGAGGCCGAGACGGCCGGCGCCACGCTCCTCGACTGCTTCCGCGGCACCAACCGGCGCCGCACCGAGGTGGCCTGCGTCGTTTTTGCGATCCAGTACCTGTCCGGTTCGCCCCTCATCTCGTTTGCGGTCCTGTTCCTGCAAAAGGCCGGGCTGAGCGAGACCAACTCGTTCAACTTCAACCTGGGCATGAACTCGATGTACGTCGTCGGCACCATCGTCTCGTGGTTCCTCATGTCGCGCTTCGGCCGCCGGTCGCTCTACCTCTTTGGCGTCGTCATCATGGGCTTGACGTGCCTCGTCATCGGCGGCCTCGGCGTGAGCAGCTCCAAGTCAGCCTCGCTGGCCATCGGCGCCATGATGGTAGTCCTGAACCTTTCTTACAACGTGAGCATCGGACCCGTCTGCTACGCGCTGGTGGCCGAGCTGTCGTCGAGCCGGCTGCGCGCCAAGACGGTGGTGCTGGCGCGCACGTCGTACAACCTGACGGGCCTGGTCACCAACACGATCCAGCCGCGCATGATCGCCGCCGACCAGTGGAACTGGGGCGCCAAGTCGGGCTTCTTCTGGCTGGGCAGCTGCACCGTCATGTTTGTCTACTGCTACCTGCGCCTGCCCGAGACGCGCCACCGCAACACGGGCGAGCTCGACGTCCTGTTCGAGAACCGCGTCTCGGCGCGCAAGTTTGCCTCGACCGCCGTCGACCAGTTCCACGTCGCGCCTGTTGCTGCTGCCGGATCCTCCCCGTCCGCGGTCGCCAGAGCGTCGGAGAGCGCGAGCGCGTCGGACGACGACAAGCTCGAGGCGGCCGGCTCGGAAAAGTAGATGCTGGGCCTCTGTTCCTCCTGATGTATTCTCCCCGTGCTTCGCCTTCTCCCTTTCGCCTCTGACTCGCCTCTCCGGATATCGACTAAAGAATCATGATGCATATGCTTGCTTGCTTGCTTGCTTGCTGCCAGGAGGCGACGTCTGCTCTCGACTTACCTCTGCGGCTGCCGCAGTTGGTGTGGTAGAGGCCAGGCCAGGTCAGGTCGAGTTGGCGCCTGCATCTGTGGCCCGCCAGGACGGGCGTGGCCTCGCCTGGCCTAGCGGGGCGTCGCCGTTTTCCGATGCCGCGCTCTCTGGCAACCTGAGGGTTGCTCGGAACTCGGAACTGGATCGGGAGGTGGGTCGGAACTGGATCGGGAGGTTGGTCGGAACTGGATCGGGAGGTGGGGGCGTTGGGCGGGCCAGGCCAGGCCTGCCAGCCAGCCCAAGCGAGCGGGCTGGAGGAGCGACGAGGCAAGCCAGCAAGGGTCCGTTGCGCCTGTCGGTCGGCCAGGCCAGCAGCAGGTCTTTCGGTCGCCGAGCCTCGAGCGACGCACGCTAGCCTGCTCTGCCGGCACCAGGCTGGCTAGCCCTCCTGGCAAACAGATTCGACCGCCGGGATGCCGCCGTACGGGTCTCCTTGCTGGCTGGCTGGCTGGCTGGCTGGCTGGCTGGCTGGCCGTCTGCATCGGCGGCTGCGGCGACGACCAAGCAAGGTTGTTCGACGACGACGACGACGACGTACAGCAGCAGCGGCAGCGGCGGCGGCGGCGGCGGCGGCATCAATCAACGAGCGCCTGCGCAGCACAGCGGCAGCAGAGAGAGAGAAAGAGAAGCAGGCGCCACCTCGTTCCTCTGTGCGCTGGCTGGCCGACCCCTCAGGGACTTGCCTGCCTGCAACGGAGGGGAACGGTGGTCCGCGGGCGCGCAGCCACAGATCGACGTAGGTACGCCCTCGAGGAAAAGCCTCCCTCGGACCTCGTCCTGGCGCCGGCACGCCCAGCAGGCCGGCGTCTCTCTTCTGCTGGGCTGGGCCGGGCTGGCCTGTGTGACGGCGGCTGGCTGGCTGTGACCGAGCGGAGGCTGAAGCCAGGCGGGCAGGCAGGCGGCCAGGTGCAGCCCTGCGTAACGGCCGCACGCCCAGCAGGCGCCAGAGAGCGAGGCAGGCAGCCAGACAGGCAGGCAGACAGGCAGGCGAGTGCGGATCTTTTTTTCCCTCACCCGCCCGCCTGGCTGGTTGGCTGGCTGGCTGGCTGGCTGGCTGGCTGTGGATCGGCGTCGCGGCGGCCCCAGCGCAGCCGTACGTGAGCCAGCCCGCTGAAAAAAACCCGCCAGAGGCCAGCAGGCAGGCCGCCTGCTCGCTCGCTCGCGCGCCCGCCCGCCCGCTCAACGGCACGCAGCAGCAGCAGCAGCATCAGCAGCGGCAGGCCGGGCGGCGCAACACACCAACGCACGCACCTCAGCTCGCCGCACTGCACCGCACCTCACCGCGCCTCTGCCCCTGGCCTGCCTCTGTCGCTGCCAGTCGTGAGTACTCAAGTGTTGGGCCTCGCCTCTGTCACACCTGCCTCTCTGCTGCTCTTGCTTCTTCTCCCTAGCCAGAGATCACCACGACCGACGCCTCTGCTGCTGGCCACCATCCCCGCCGCCGCCGACACCGACAGCCGCTTGCCGTCGCACCACCATCGCACGCTACCACCGCCGACACTCTGTCGCTCTTTGCCTTTTCCTGCCAACCCATCCATCGACCAACACTCTGCCGTGGGCGGCTGCTCCTTTGTCCCCGTCACCGTCGCCGTCGCCGTCCCCGTCCTTGGGTATCCTCTTGGCCGCTCCATCTCTTTGCTTTCTTCGCCGACTCGACTGGCACCTCGCCGCAACCTTCGGCCGCCTTTCTATCCTCACACGCCGCACCTATCGCTCCGGTCTCCTCCCGGCTATTTTGCCGCATCCCAGCATCCACAGGATCGACTAGCAGCTCGAGCCGCTTGCAGGCAGCAGACGACGGCAACACGTCCTCGCGCCAGATCGGCCCGTACCAAGACCTGCTCGAGGCCCAACGCCCACCAGTAGCCTCCTCATCGACTCTCGCACCCACTTTGATTCTCGCTCCCCCTCTCCCAGGGGCAAGCAGACCAGCGACCACTCTCCTTGGGCCGTGACTGCTGCCAACAGCGACCGTTCCCGTCTGGCCCTCCTCAACCGACCGACCCAGTCGACTTCTTCCGCCATCTGGCCGCCACCTGCTGCTTCTTGTCCCATTTCCGCTTTCAACCATCGGCCACGTACCTTTTGCAGGCCTCCCCCTTGCTTCGGTCCTGCAGCTCGGGCAGCACGCACGCCTCTTCTACTGCTGGGCCACTCTGTCTCGACGCACTCGAGCTATCTCCCGCTGTCCTTCGATCGATCGGTACAACGGTCCTTCGCGCAGCAGCTCGCTTCTTCTGGTACCAACCCACATCGATCTTGCTGCGGCCTGACCACGACCTGACCTCAGCTCCCGGCAAAGGCACAGCTCGAGGCCCAGCTCACCCCTCCGCCCGGGCACGGATCCACCGCTAGCCCCTACGCTTTTATCGTGCCTCGAGGCCCGTGCGCCAGGCGACACCACCCGTCCCATCACCCACCTCGTATCACCTTCCGACTCGGGATTCGTTGCTTGTCCGTTCGCACGCTGAGCGGACCGGATTGATGCTGGCGAAGGTGAGTCCACGCAAACAGCTCGACCGCTTCTGTCCGATTCGTCGACCGAGGAGGACGAGGGCGGAGGGCGCTCGCCCTTCCAAGCAAGGGCTCGTCGGCCTGCTACGACCCTCAGACCTGTCGTCGTCACGGCCCATCAGACGACCACCCTACTGCCACCACGACCGCAGAGCCTGACCTCGAACTGCCCTTCGTCCCTGGCGTCCTTCCTTCAACAGCAGAGACCCGCGGACAAGATGCCTGGGCCTTCGATTTTCACCCAGATCTCGTCGTTCTTTGGCGGCGCGCAAAACCAGAGCCCGTTTGGCGGCCAGAGAAAGACGTCGACGTTCGGCAGCGGCCTGCCATCGTCGTCGAGACGCGGTCCACCGGCCTCGCTCAACACCAACGCCTGGTCGCAGCCCTATAACGGCGCCTACAGCCAGGACTCGCCCACGGTCCTTTCGCCCGGTGCCGGCCAGTACCCGCCGCCCCGGTCGACGTCGCCGTACCAGATGGCGGCGCAGAGCCCCTCGTCGTTCTCGACCACCTCTGTCGGCGACTTTACCAACCTCCACCCGTCCGCCTCTTCGTCGACGCTGGTCCCGCCGGTCAATGGCCGCTCTGCCCGCAGCGGCATCGGCGGCGGTGGCGGTGGCGCCAGCGCGGCGCGTTCGGCCACGGGCGTCATGATCCCCTCGACCGCCTACCCGCCGCTGCGTCACACCTGGAACCGGATCCGCGCGTGGTGCGACGATCACTATGAAGAAATCGCCGACACGCTCAACTGGCCCGCCACCGAGGAGGCGCTCGACGAGCTCGAGATGACGATTGGCTTCGCGCTGCCCGCTGCCGTGCGCGAGTCGTACCTCTGCTACGACGGCCAGGAGCTCGAGTCGAACCAGTCGTGCCAGGACGGCCTGTTTTTCGGGCTGCCGCTCCTCAGCGTCGAGGAGATTGCCGAAGAGTGGCGCTTCTGGCGCGCCGTCGACGAGGACCCCGAGACGGGCTCCAACCCGCACGTCCGCGCCAAGATGTCGAGCTGCCCGCACAAGTGGGTCCGCGCCGAGTACTCTTGCCGCGGCTGGATCCCGCTCATCACCGACCGCGCCGGCAACTACATCGGCGTCGACCTCGCCCCGCATCCCTCGGGCGGCGGCGCGCCTGGCCAGGTCATCATCTTTGGGCGCGACTTTGACACCAAGGTCGTCGCGTGGCGCGGTGAGGGCGAGGGCGGCTGGGGACGCTTCCTCCAGAGCCTCGCCGAGGAGCTCGAGAGCGGCGAGCTGTGGAGCCTCGACGAGCCGTCGTCCGGCAGCGACGACGAGGAGGACGCCATCGGCTACGAGAGCTACTTTGCTGGGGGCGCCGGAGGCGGCGCCAGCCGCGGCGGAGGCGACCGGACGGGCGAAGGCGTCGCCGGATTCCGCCTGGCGGGCGAGTACAAGGCGTGGCCGGTGCTCGAGGCGTGGGCGGACAAGTCGATCAAGCACTGGGAGTCGGTCGGGCTGGCGCCCGGCAGGCCCGTCGGCGACGACACGATGCCGAGGCTGCGCATGGTCGACGAGAACGGCGAGGCGCTCGACGCCGAAGGCAGCCAGCGCTCGCGCCGCGGCAGCTCGGTGATGCACGCCGACGACGAGCAGCCCATTATTGCGGCGCCGCACCCGCTCGAGGAGGCTGCCGGCTCGGCTCTCGATACGGGCGACACGAGCTCGACCCAGATGCTTCCAGACGCTGACGCCGGCGCCGTCGGCGTCAACGGCGATGCCGGATCCGACGGCGGCAACATCACGCCGACCAACAGCGGCCGCCTGCTGGGCAAGATGCTCTCGCCGCCGCTGCCGCAGACCAGGTCGTCGCGGAAGCAGAAGCAGCGCGGCGAGGGCTGGGGAGCGCCGCAGCTCGGATCGCCGCAGCTCGACCAGGCGCAGCA